GCAGTACCTTTGTTCCGAGCCGGCATAAGTAACTGCTCTGATGTCGTATGGAGAGTACCTTGCATTTGCTCGTTGAAATGCAGTAAATTTTATGTTGACCATTAATCTACCGTTTCTAGGTCACTCCGAAGTAGATGCTAGTCGACATTCACCTGAATCCTGCGCCAAGTCTTGGTATTGTCGACAAAAATTTGGCAGCTCGAAGCGATCGCCTGTACGTGGTCATTAATAAAAACAAAAACATACTTAGACCTTGTACTGCCTTGCGGCACACCACACTCGACTTGTATGGGGGTTCGATATAGAGCTCTGAACTCTGATCACCAATTGCCGTTGAAGTAGAAAGTTGACAGTCCAGCTTATAAGAGGGCCACCTATCTCGTAATGGTCGAGGTTAAAGAGTACTATCCGATGGTCTAGACGATCGAAAGCGAATAATCCAGGTAGATCACATTAACACCTCCAGCGCCAGCTGCCTCGGTCCAGCTACTGCGTGTGCTTAGTAAATTCGTTGTACATAACCGCTTTCGACGAAAGCCGTGCTGCTGAGGCGTAATGATGTTACAGTTTTTCAGCTAACACACCAGCGCATCGGCAACAATGAATTCCTTGACCTTGTAGAGTATTGGAAGAAGGGATACTGGGCGGTAGTTTGAGGGCCTAGTTCTACTTCCGCCTTTGTGATTTGGGGTCGTTATTCCAGGCTTCCACATAGCGGGAAGTTGGTTCTGGTCTAAGCAGCGCTAGAAAAGCTAACCTAAAAGTCCTACCATTGGACTTGATTCTGCTTGCAGTGCATCTGGACAAATGGTCTCGACACCCGGCGAGCTGTGTTTGCGTGGAGACGTTAGTTTTTGTAATACAGCCTCCGCGGTAAAAGTGATGTGGGTTAGTCCTGGCGAGGAGACGGCAAAGGCTGGAAGATCGCTTAGTGGCAAGACCCTCTGAAACGTGGGAGCGCATTGCATCCGCACCGCGTTTGCTGCTTCCACGGCCATTCTTGTTTAACAATCGGCCATCCTGGTTGGAGAAAATCCTTGCTTCACTTTCCGTAGGCCATTGACATGCTCGTACAGCAGTTTGTGCTTAGCAATGAAGGTTTTTACGAAATTCTGCTGATATGCGGCTTCGTCTTTTCATAGCAGTTGAGTGCAGGGGTTACCTTAGTTTACGTAGTTGCCCTAAGTTTCTGGTGTTGGCCCTTCTCTGTACACTCGCCATGCTGCGTAACTTACTGTCATCCATTTTCGAGTTCTGCTCCTAACAAAAGAAACTGATTTACACTTATTGCAAGCTCTTATCTCTGAAGCCTCTGCTATCAGATGGCTGAATTTGTTGACGAACTGGAGCCAGGCGACTTTTGGGGCTTCTTCGACATGGAACAGCCAAGTTGTAGCGCTGACGAGCTGAGCTAATCGATCGTAGCTCGTGATGGTTCGTACAGTCTCATCGTTCTCATTCCGATATTCCGCATAGCAGACGCCATTGAAACTGATGACTGCTGGATCACTGCGGCCCAACAAGCAGTTTACAGCTAACCCATCAATCATGCTTTTCGTTGGTAAGCACAAGATCCAGCACAAATGGCCTGTTACCTGTTCTGAACCGAGTGGGCAGTGATGTGATTGTAAAGAGGAACAGTGGTTACGATATCTTGTAGATCGGCTTTGATTTGTTCTCTCATCGTGGCAAGGGTTTCTAAACAATGTACCTTGAAATCACCCATTTGGTGATGGTACAGACTTTAATCGTAGAGATAATTCCACGTATGAAGAATCACAGTGAAGGGCTTGTAAATCCGGTTCGAATGAGCATGCAGTGACTTCGCTGCGAGAAGCTGGAGAGAGGATAGAGAGGAATAATCCATATGACCCAGGAGCACGCACCTCACGCGACTTTGTGGATGACGAGACCCAGAAGGTTGAAACAGCGTTGTCTGGTGCTTTTCCAGACGTGTCGAAGCTTGCTGACTGTGGAGCGTGATGAACTATCTCTAGTCTCGTAATGCTTTCCATAAATTTGCGGTCGTTGCCTAAAGTTGCGGGACTGTTTACTTAAGTGATATCCATGCACTCTTTTTCCATTCTGTTTTCACACTTGTAAAATGTTCAAATCTACTGATACTGTGTTATCGCATTTGTGATAGACAATGCAAAATGCTGAAAATGCACCCATTAGGGTGCATTAAAGTTCATCTTGACTTATCCTGACTTTTATATCGCATCCGTCATTTGGCGTCACAAACTACCGTGCGATTTTAAACTGTATCTCGGGCACTGACGCCAAACGAGCGAGCATGTCACGTCAGTGGTTTATAGTAGATATACATCCTTGTGCACATTAATTGAAACAAACTACGATTGTGTCTCTTTTTCTATGAATATCATGTTTTTATACATGAAAGCTGCCCTTTTGGCATTTATTGTTTATTTTATTTTGGGAATAGATATTTCATCATTGTTTGTGAATCAGACGATGTAATAACTGCGCATGTCTAGTCGTTACATCACCCAAGATTGCGTCCTACTTTTTATGGTTAGTAAGCTTTTTGTTTCAACTTCTTGTTTTTTGTGATTCAGTCATTGTTTGAGATGGACGTGACTCCCAGAAGGCGCATGAAGATCGTGACCTTGCACGAACACACAGACAAGACCTACAGGGACATAGCAAGAATAGTAGGCGTCAGTCCGGCAACCGTCAGCCGTGTGGTCAAAAAGAAAAAGGAAACGGGATGCATTTCGCCAAAACGCAAAAGGAAATGTGGTCCTAAGAGGAAAACCACTGCCAGGGATGACACTTACCTAATACGGGAAAGTGTTAAAGATCCTCGAAAGACTAGTGACGCATTAAAACGTGATTTGGGGGAGAAAGGAATAGAAATCAGTTCTTCAACGGGATCTGGCCCCGTGCCACACATCAAAAATGGTCAAGACTTTTTTCAATACTAATCAAATAACCATCTTGGACTGACCTGGGAATTCACCAGATTAAAACCCCACTGAAAATATGTGGTCTATTTGCAAGCAACGCCTTCGTGGCATGGACTGTACGACAAAGGAGAAACTTATTCAAGCCTTAATTAAAGTTTGGTACAGGGACCCAAGATGTTGAAATACGCCAGATCCGTCAGGAAATGTCTTTTTTAGTTCTGGAACAGCTCTTCTTTGGAGAACTTCTATATATTGTGGAGAGCGCATCATGCCCTGGACTGGATGCAAGGCGCCGACGCCGTAATAACTAAAGCACCCCCAAAACATCTGCTTTCGTGGGTGTTTCACAAAGTGGTCAATGTGGGAATCACGAACCTTTTCTCCCTCTGACCTTCGAACATACTGACTTCTCTGACCATGAACATAGAAATGGCTTTCATCGCTGAATAGGACTTTTCTCCAATCTTCTTTTGTCCAGTTTTTGTATTTTAGTCCCCATTTGTAACGCTTAACTCTCATTACTTTTGTCAGAAGTTGTTTTTTCACAGGCCGACTTGTTTTCCGACCAACTTCCAGGAGTCGCCTGCGAACCGTTGAAGAACTGATTTCTATTCCTTTCTCCCCCAAATCACGTTTTAATGCGTCACTAGTCTTTCGAGGATCTTTAACACTTTCCCGTATTAGGTAAGTGTCATCCCTGGCAGTGGTTTTCCTCTTAGGACCACATTTCCTTTTGCGTTTTGGCGAAATGCATCCCGTTTGCTTTTTCTTTTTGACCACACGGCTGACGGTTGCAGGACTGACGCCTACTATTCTTGCTATGTCCCTGTAGGTCTTGTCTGTGTGTTCGTGCAAGGTCACGATCTTCATGCGCCTTCTGGGAGTCACGTCCATCTCAAACAATGACTGAATCACAAAAAACAAGAAGTTGAAACAAAAAGCTTACTAACCATAAAAAGTATGACGCAATCTTGGGTGATGTAACGGCTAGACATGCGCAGTTATTACGTCGTCTGATTCACAAACAATGATGAAATATCTATTCCCAAAATAAAATAAACAATAAATGCCAAAAGGGCAGCTTTCATGTATAAAAACATGATATTCATAGAAAAAGAGACACAATCGTAATTTGTTTCAATTAATGTGCACAAGGATGTAGATGTGCCACATCTAGCCTGCTCTATGTAACCTTCGAACTTCCACCTCGAGATTTATTCACCATTATACTTATTGAGTCTTGCACTTGCTCTGGATGCTTACACACCAAATTTAGGTATTTACGTGTCACGATCGGCGCTTCCTAGGAGGAAACTTAAGTATGCGTTGACCCAACGGTCAGCTTTTTCACAGGGACGTTAAGTACATCACTGGCGATTTGTGTACCGGCATCGTACTCGCAGCAGTTGCCAGAGAGACCTATACGCACTACGTAGTTGGCTAAACTGATATCCACGTGCAAGTTGTCTATTTCAGCGTGGCTAACTACACCTTTTCTCGGGTAATTGTATCCATAGCACTTTCAAATTCCTCCTTAAGGAAATCATATTCCTCTTTCAAGCTGCTCCATAACGCTTTCAAGTTGAATCCAGCTGGCACGAACGCCCCTAAATGATACGGTCCATTGAGTGACCAAATCCAAATCAGACAATATCATCCCCCCTGTGTGCTCATCTGTTATATTGTCTTTTTTTTGAACCTCGTCAATCAACGAATTGTCCGTAATTTCTAGGAGTGTTCGCGCCCGTTTTATTCAACTTGATAGCGTTACGAACCATATTGAAAGATCTGTGGAGAACCGATTTCCTTAAAGACGAATTTGAGAGCGCTATGGATTCAGTTGGTTGAGTTGTTACTTGCCTAGTGTCATCATTGTAGTACAAACAATTTTATCACTATTATGCATTTCAATTCAAATGATATGATCGTGCTGTTTCCATGAGAAACTCGGTCTAATGTACCCCACCCGCCTACGTAAGGCATTTTGTTGCTTATCTCCAATTTTTGTCCGAATCTTTATCTCTTGCCCCCTGTAACTGAGCAGTTGCCGTTGCTTTTTCTTTTCTGTAGACGACGGACATCTCAACTTCAGCGACTCGGCCCAGTGATAGCTCTAGTGCTACGCCTACGTTTCAAGCCGAACCTTCGGACACGGGACAAGTGAGTTCCACACACTTGTTTGACCAATCGATGTTTCGTGATCATCACTAGCTGCCCTTTGAGCACACTCATGGCTGGAATCTTTGTTACTATTTATCCTACATCCCTTGGCTCTTTCTGCAACCCCGACGACCAACCTGTTGATTGCGGCAATGCACCTGTTAGTTGAGTACCCAGCAGATGTTTTGCTCATCTGTGGCTTTGGTTATCGCTATCTGAGCCTTATATGCTTACTTCAATTAACTTTTATTAGCTAGACTCACGTTCTGCTGTTTATTCCAACCTGCTGACCTGTTCGCATACGCAGTCGCTTCCCCACGCTTCATTATCAAGTCAACACGAGTGCGTTAGAACCACTCTTTTTTATCAAACCCGATAATGAAAACGAATTCTGGGCGGAGATCAAGATCCGGCTTTCCTGAACCACATGATGCGCTATTTCACCGTGGCAACTATTCAAGACTATTTCTCACTGGCGCGCCAGCTGTCTGTGCCCATTCACCCACACACGCCCTTCGCCCACTATGCTCAGTTTGGCCCTCGTGTGATCTACCCGGGCCTACGCTGAGCTTGGTTCAGGCTCGGCGCCTTCAATTTTTCGTTATCTATCTGGCTAGCACAATCCTTATTAGTTCACCTAGGCTGCACGTGCTTCACGTTTTGTCCACTCATCTCGCGTCGGTTCCACCCTCATTGGACTGATTGTCATCGTGTGGTCATTCCATAGTTTCGCTAGCGTACGTGTACTGTTCGCTCACTGTTGTTGGACCAATCGAACCCATTCTTTGTTTCCAGTCCTTGATTTTCGATCGTGCTAGGCTGAATGCATTCCGGATACCTGGCAAGTTATCTGGTTTGGGAGCTTCTGCGATTAAAGTACATCAGGCGCCCCCACCCATGAGTAATGAGGGAAATTCCGTAGTGCTCCCGTGGCCCGTGCGATTGTAAACAGCTTGCGTGGGTGGCACTTCACAGACTTCCTGTCCACCAACGCTCCCGGCCATTAGCGTGAACGATCACAATCCCGCCTCGTAATCCGAGGGCGCGGGTTCGAGCCTGCGTAGGGATCGCGCGACCCTCACAGTATTCTTAGCCCACGTGCGACTGACGATGGTTGCACGGCAGTAAAGAGTCGGTACTGCTTATCGGCGTACTGATGAGCCCTTCTTTCTTCACCAACGCTCCTGTGTTGATTTCCTTCACTCGGGTTACCAGTTATCCCCACCGTCGAGTTCACCATACTCCTTTTCTTTGCGTAAATTTCTTAAGCATCGTTTGTTATATCCACCCGAATTCATCATGCTTACATCAACTCAGTCATGCTAACCCACTGTGTTTATTTCACGGTAACCACCAGCCACTTTGATCCGTCACACGATTCACAGTTTCACTGCCACTTCTGTATAGGATATGTGGCGACTTTCTGTTCACGTGCGACAACTACTGTCTATGAGGAAGCCGTGCTTTTTCGAACTGTAGGGTCGTTCGTGTTACAACACGATGCACTTGTGTCTTTTTGTTCAACACAGCTATCTACACTGATGAATAGAAACAATAGCATTGCATTAGTTTCAACGCTTCGTTGTCACGTACCAACCAACAGTCGCGTCAGGGCTCGAGATACTACGTGATCGCTCATACACATACACAGTCTCGAATTAGTGACCTGTGTGTTTCTTGTGGGACTCCTTAGCCATTCGGCTACCGACATACTACTGCCTCACCTATATTGTTTACCAGGACACTCAGCGTTCAACTTCCCCATTCATCGTTTAGATACTTGTTATCATCTTTCCCTGCCTCCAACCTTGGCTGCACTTCTGTTTATCCCTCACTCTTTGTACATATCATCAAAGTACCGCCTTTCTTCAGACTGTTCATTTTTAGTCGCTCCATTTAGACGTTAATAACTTATACTTTCGTATAACAAACCATATGACCGCACAGTTCTACCAAGTCCATAAATCATCCTCCGACTTTTATCGTACTTTCTTTGGATTTCAAGTTTCCATATCCATCTGAGCTTCATCTGCTCATATTCAGTTGTTGGGTTGATCCGATGAGGAGGTTAATGCCTTTCTGTCCGCTGACTGCTTTGTGCATCTTTGTCTACGATGTTCATGCCGTCCAGGCAGCATTTCAGTAATAACTGCGACATGCTCGGTATCATGAATTTTCTAGACCCGAAGAGCGAAGCTTTTTGATGCTCTCTCAGGATGCGCTTGTTGACAATACATCTGCAGTCAGTGTTTTTGACCGACTCTGTGGAAACCACCATCACTCTTGCTTTCCTTTCATTTCTTTCCTTGGTTACTTTTTGATTCACTGTTGAACATAGTGTAGATCGTCCAGTTTGACCACTTATCAGCCACACCTGAACTGTATGTTTCCTTTCTCAGCATATTTGTCAGCATCTTTTTAGAACTTTGATCCACTCTCTTTGCTGCTAATGAGACCATCACGATTGCTCTCCCGATTCGCACGCTGTGCTTCACTACATCACCCCCCTCGCCTCATGTCTAACTTGGTCAGTCAGTCATTTACACACCGTGGCATGGTAGACCTACGATGGCTACAGCCATCTCGAAGCTTTGGTGAGCAACTGGCATCTGCGATCCCGTATGTTACAATGACCATACAGCATCGAGGTGGAGGCCGAACAAAATGTTTTCTCGGATGAGTTATGTTATGACCAAGGACGATTTCACTGCGCAACAACATTTTTACTGCAAGAAAACGAACAATAGTTCTTATATAATTTGAGCATGTTTACTTCGAATCTGACATTTGCTTTTCTTTGCAAGCTATAGATTTTCGTGAAAATTGACCATAAATTTCCACTTTTCACACATTCTAGGTACTTTACATTAGATCACTTTGTGCAACTACATTCTGCTGCAGAAAAGCAACAGTGATTCTTATACAATCTGAGCACACTGCATTCCAAGCCAACAGTTGTTTTTCGCTATAGGGCACAGATTTCTAGCGAATTTTGAGTACAAAGATTTTTGCAAAGGGCCAGTCTTCACAAATATGGTCGATGACCCGATGTATCTTAAATATATATAACTTGATGCAAACATGTATCCTTAACACAACATCCTATTTAGGCATACTCTAAGCACAAAGCTAGATACATAACAGGCATTAATCGGGCAAGGATTTGCGTTTATAGCTTTTGCCTCAAAATGCTTTCTTGGGGCAGTCACGTTTGACGCTCCAAAAATAATAAGATGACTGTTAAAGAAATGCAGCTTGGCACTTTCGTAGCTTGGCAGCTAATAACTCAGCCGCTCTTTTGGAGAGTAATCGGATTCTGCAGCCTAAGAACGTGACACGGTTTCGGGACATCTGTCATCATGGCCCGGGTTGCTACCCGACCGGCGGTAGCACGGCTGAGTCACACCGAAAGCTGATGAAATCAGTACATCATCACCCGCGTTGCTGCCCGACCGGCGCTAGCACGGCTACGTCACGCAGTAGGCTAATGAAATCACTCCGTCAGTATGGAACAGCTTGCTACGTGACAGGGCGCGACAACAGTTGGTCAGTGCAGACCGCAAGCGGGTTTGAGATCTGCCCAGGCAAGTGGCTTTGAACCACCTCGGGAACTTACAACAGAAGATGACAGATTGTGACCTATAAACTGAACCGTGTACTGTGCCTATTACACTTCTGGCTATCAGGCTTCGGTGTTTTATTTTCTCCCCGGCTGGCTTGGCAGTGCGGCGAGCAGAGGCGAGGGTAGCGTTACAAGGGAGAGCCCCTAATCACACACTAAATCATACAATTCTTGATGACTGATTTGATGTGGGGCTGATGTAAGTTCAGCATCAGTTGGAGAGTTTTCATAAGTTGTAGCCGAATCATGTAACTGGGCTCCATCTTCACGCCCACTAACTCAATACGCAAATGCTATATTCCTCATCGATGCGAGGCACAGTCCAAATATGTGGTCTGATCATCATCTAAAGATCCAAAACCTTTAAATATTACAACCGAAAGCTCTTCAGAGTGTAGATTGGGTCAAATTGCAGAGCAAATACTGGGATGAGAAATCCTATGCTGATACCTAGTGCCAATATCTTTAGTATTAATCATGCAAAATAGCAGTCTGTTATGTTTTTCCTAGCTTCTCACCCAACTCCAAATGGCAGGCCTTTGCATTTGCCCTTTGTCCAGTCACGAAGCATTTCCTCACATTAATGGCACGCAATGTGAAGTGTCCATTTTAAGTCTTGGTCACCAAAGTGTATTTCAACCTATGTTTTATAGACACATGTCACAAACGAATTGATATTTCCCCTTTTATGAACTAGTGTATAACACCCGCAAATCTAGCAAAATGCATCCGGTTCATTTACACATTTATGTCGACCTGAGTGAGCCATTGTCATATCTGTAACGAACGTGGGTAGGTATTTAATTTTCAATTTTTGTAAAATACAAAAATACATGAAAACTAGAGCATGCAGAAAAAACGGGTTTCAGGTTTGAGCTCACCATTAAAAATTTATGCGTAATCGATTTAAAATTCGCATGCAGCAGAAAGTTGAAATAATTTTGTGGCCCTGCGTTTTCAGTCTATTTTGATTCGTGTTTCACGCTCGATAGATCATGTGCGCTTTTGGGCAATACTGTGTTATCGCGCGAATGTGAATGGATTTCCGACCCTCTAGTGATACTCCATGCTGATCGGTCGATTTGGTTTCGTCCTCTGCCTCATTGAGAATGCCCTAATCGGTCTATTGTCACTTGGTGTTCTTGGACCCATTCTGAGATGATTGGCAATAGGAACGCGACGTTGACAAGGTTCCTCTGTTATACTTGTCGTTGGTTCCGAGGGAATAAGATTGTCCCATTTCACATGGATTTGGGCCCGAAGAAAGTTGCATCGGTGCTGTTGTAATGGTACACTAGTGTGCCAGATTCGCGGTGAAACTGGACACTGAAGATAACGGAGCTTCCTTTAGTTGTCGCGCAGATGACAACAAGCACTATTGTGCTGAGGTTCAGCACTTCTTCTTACAGTTGGCCTTATCAGTGCTATCGACAAGATGCATTTCTCAGTCGATGCCTCCGTTTTGTATCTTACACATGTCTGCACTCTTTTTAGACTGGCTATTGTCTTTGTTCCCTCCCATTATGAGCTCACTCGCGTTATCCGTGGTTTGCCATCTGTATCAGCTAAAAGTCGTCCAGGAATTCAAGTACGTGGGCAGCTGTATTGGTTTCATGGGTTCGAAGCCGAGGTCACGAACCGTGTAGCGAAAGTTCGAGCACTTTTGCCAATCTCCGCCATCCGTTGCGCCGGTTCGACATCATTCTCGCCCTGAATGCTAGAGTTTATACTTTCTATACTATACTATACGTTTGTGACAGACATAAAGATGCTAGTTACGTTCGACCACTGCTGCCTTCGCAGCCTAGCTCATGTCTAGTGGGAGCATCGCATGTGCAATGAATGTGTTCGGCGTCGTGTATTTGGTGCTCGAAGAGCGAATGAACCGCTCAGCACCATTTTATCACACACCACGCTCCGATGGCTAGGCTACTTGTGGCGCATGCCAGCACACCAACTCCCGAGTGATACGTTGCTTGCGCGATCGGGGTCTGGATGGAAGAGTAAGAGAAGAGGCCAATCGATGACTTGGCCGAGAATGAAAACTCACTTCGAAGTTGGCGTCGGTTGGTGCATCCCGACCGCCTGGCTGGGGTCCTAAGGACGATGAACCAGTCTGGTTGGATACACTTACTGATATAGCGAAGAGCCGACCTCAATGACGTTTGTTTTGTAAGTTTCTTTGTCCATCCACCCTTTTAGATTCCCCCTTCAACTGCGATTTCATACGACATGCATACTATGATATCTAACACTACATTACTTTCTTTTGGAACTTTTTTAGTCTATACTTTTAACATCTTTTTTGTATTGGGGCACATTAGCTGAGGGCTGTTTTCCACTCTCAACTAATATGTATTGATTATCATGTTCTCTGATTTCGGTTTTTGGGCACCGCATGTCTCTGTGACCGTATATGGACGAGTAGGGCTCGCCATCCGAATTGTTCTCAGATCAATCGCGTACATTTATATGGATTTAGCGACTAGGCTTGTACCGAAAACATTGGCTAGATGTTCTCAGATATGCTTACAATGAATGCCGATACCATGGACTTCTTATCGCATGGACGCTACCCGGTTTGTTAGGTTACGTTTGCTTAAACTTTGGAGCAATCTTCTCGGAAAGTATTTGATGTGTCACTCAGAAACCTGTATGCGTAGATCTGTTGTTACATGCTGTGCCAAATATGTCCTGCCAAACATAAGAAGTCCTCCTCAGTGAGTGGACAAGGCACCCAGATGTAGTGGTCTGATGCACTGAAAAAGTGCGCGTGCCGCTACCCCAGTCAAGTTTCATCCATCAGCCTTGGTCATTCGGGCATGGGTATGCGACGCCTTCTCTTGCGGCCAATTCGCTCTGGTGATACCGCCTTCCATCGCAATGAGGCTGGACCTTACCGTGGTGCGATGGTTTGCGTGCCTCAGGGATCCATTGAGCTATGCTGAGTGGTGCTTTTTTTGCACCTTCGGAGCCACTCATACCAGATTGGTCAATGGTTAGAGGCCAGACAAACTCAGCCTCCTGGTCCTCCAGGTTGGGGGTTGGAATGGGGGGTGGCTCCTCATTTCATAAAACGGGCTCCGTAGTCCAGTGCCAAAACCCGCTGCCTTGCGGTCAGGTTTTTGAACCAAAGGCTTTGGTTGAGAACCCTAATCGTTCTCCTGTCTAGGCCTGGGCAACCTGACAGTGTTCTGCCCACGCAATACAATGAAACTTTCCTACAACAATTTCTTGATGCTCCGGGCGTCGCAGAGGATAATAAACGGCGTCCTATCTGCTGCATCGAGCAGGGTGGATAGGGGTTTGGATGCTACTGCTCAGGCCTTCCCGTCTTCTTATACCCCTTCTTGCGCTTCTTTATCCTTATCGTCCCGCTCCAACTTTACTTATATCCCCCCTATTTTCAACCCCCCAATTCTTGGCCCTCCCCCAGCTTACTTCAATAGTCGCTTGTCTTCTAATTTCAAATCACACACAATCGCAGGGCCTCGCTCTGATTTCTGATTGCCTCTAAATTGCTTACCTTTGTCATTCTCCACAGACTGACTGGCACTCGTAAAAGCCAGATTCGTGAAGAGCAAGCCGGATTTCGTCGAGGTCGGGGCTGCATCGACCACATCTACACATTGCGTCAAGTGTTGGAGCACCGCCATGTTTATTGGCGACCCGTCGTTGTCGTGTTTCTTGACATAAAAGGTGCATTCGACTCAGTCGATCGATGTTCCCTTTGGGACTGGCTGTTGAGGAGAGGTTTGTCTGATAAATATGTAAATATTATCAAAGCGCTGTACGCGCGTAGTTCGGGCAGGGTGAGGGTTTATGGTAAACTCTCGCCACCCTTCAGTATCACCAGCGGTGTGAGACAAGGATGCCCGCTGTCACCTTTCCTCTTCAACTTCGCTATTGATGAAGTCATGGAGCTACTTCCTGATGACCGACTTCTTGACTTGGAGTATGCAGACGATATTGCCCTAATCTGTGATAGCTTCCAAACATGTCAAACAGCACTGGACCGATTAACACTGGCTGTCAATCGTTTTGGGCTATGCTTTGCTCCATCGAAATGTAAAGTACTTCTCCAGATTGGCAGGGACCCAACCCTGCGCTAACGCTTGGTGGTGATCTGCTAGAAGTCGTTCAGGAATTCAAGTACCTGGGCAGCTATATTAGCACCCGTGGGATTGAAGATGAGGTTACGAACCGTATAGCAAAAGCTCGAGGTGCTTTTGCCAATCTCCGCCACTTGTGGCGCAGACGCGACATTACTCTCGCCCTCAAGGGCAGAGTTTACAACGCAGCCGTCCGTTCAACTCTCTTATATGGCTGTGAAAACTGGCCCATCAAGTCGACAGACATGAAGAGGCTCGTCACATTCGATCATCGCTGCCTTCGCAGCTTAGCTCATGTCTGGTGGGAACACCGCGTGAGCAATGAGTGTGTTCGGCGTCGCGTATTTGGTGCAGGAAGAGCGAGTGAACCGCTCAGCACCATTATATCACGCACCAGGTTCCGATGGCTGGGCCACGTGTTGCGCATGCCAGCACACCGACTCCCGCGACGTGCATTGTTTGCGCGTTGTGGGTGCGGTTGGAAGAGGAGGAGGGGAGGCCAAGTGATGACTTGGTCGAGAGAAATGAAAACCCTCACTTCGAAGTTGGCGTCGGTTGGTGCATCCCGACTGCCAGGCTGGGGTCCTAAGGACGATGAACACGTTTGGTTGGACACACTCGCTGATATGGCTTGGAGCCGGCCCCAATGGCGTTTGTGTTGTGATTTCCTTTGTCCATCCCCTTCCTGTTTAGCATCCCCCTCCAATCACGATCTCACTTGTTAGGCATAATACGAGTCTCTTTTACGGCAGCCAGCTGTTAGCTCTCCGGAACGATGTCCATCCGTTACTGGGGACTCAGCCGGCGTGCCACTGTTTGTTTTCCTTTTGTTATCTTTTGTATTGCGGCACAATGGCTGAGGTGTTTTCCACCTCCAGCTAACGTGTAATGATGATGATGATGATGATGTTTATGATACCGCCTTGCCGGGTAACGAAGCGTCTGCAAACAAAACATCAAACTAGGCTGGTAACCCTAGCTTACATTTATAGATGCTAGTTTGCTCAGTTGTCGTTGTCACGTTTCTGTGATATTTCCTTTTGCTGTTCTGCGCTGTTAATTAGACGCTGCATCCTTCTTTCCTCTACACCTAGTTGCGGGGTGCAGCCAGAATCCCCTTCTCTGCGCGCCATAACAATGATCCTTTGTATACGCGGTTGACGTCATATCGATCAACGGTGGTTTTGTATTTGGATCCAGAAGCGCAGGTACGTTGACCTGTTTCTTATAAGCCTATATAAATTCATTAACTCTTCCAAGCGAATACTGGAAGTTTTACGGAAGATGTGTAGCGGCATCTAAAATCCATCGAGCACAATGACCTATTATGTTGAAGAGTATCCCCGATATTTCATATCGTCAGTGTTTATCCAGAAATTTCTTGAATTCCGAAGCCGACTTGGCCTCAACTACGTGCTGCAGCAGGCTGTTCCATACATTCACCACTTCCTTCCGTTTGGGTGACCCGCTCCAAATCCGGTATTACCAGCTTGTACCGGTGTCCTTTTGTGCTGCTTGATGTGCGCACATAGAGCAGCGACCTCAACATGGGGTAGACACCATGACGAGGTCAACTCGCAATCGACGATAAGGAAGATGTACAGTCTTAATTTCTTGAACCGGTCCTCGTAAGGCACACCTCGTAACTTGGGGTCACATTCAACCGAGGTTCTCTTTCAGTTCACTTACTAATTGTGCGTTTCACTGGATGACACCGGGTTTTTTGATGCAACTGTCATCATTCACAACCCTGTGTTTCTCGCCGTGTATACACCGAGTGGAGTAGTACACCCTGCTTATTGAACAGCGATGTTCAGGCAGCAATCACGTCGTCACTATGTACCCGGATGAAGCAGCTAGTTGATGACACACTTTCCGTCTACTAACCAGCGACCTCGTCCAATTTATTGGCTGTTCATTTCACAGAGTCTACGTCGTTGCGCGTTGCTTCTGCTAACTATCATGCCGTTCGTGGGGAAATGGCCATATTTATCAGGAACTACACAAGAATCTGCCAAAACCCTGGACTTTTTGCTAGCTATCACTTTTTGATTTTTAAACGGTGCACGTTATCTGTTTCCGCTTCAAACGAGCACTGTGATTGGCTGCTTTCACAAGGCCGTTGAATAACCTAAACTATTCATGAGTTTTCATCACTTTTTAGTTTATCTCGGGCTGGCGTGTGAATAGATCTCGCGCCTGAGGTCTTGTCTTTTCCTTCCGGGTTGGGGCTATTGACTGGTGCCAGATTTGTGTTACATTTGTGATTATGTGCCGTGATTTCGTTGTGAGTGTTCAGTTTTTCCGTGCGTGTTTTGTTCCGAATTGCGTTAGTGGTCGTAGGATCGCAACAACTTGGCGACGTGCCCTGCTTTATCAATGAGCATCAACATTGCTGGTATCAAGCTGATCCTGCAGCAGCAGATGAAGCTGATGGAGTTGATTCCTGAACGCCTTGCCACGTCCTCACTAGAGCAGTCTAGCCGGTCTATTGAGTGTAGTGAACAAGCTGGCAACAGTATCACCGAGTTTTTGTTCGATCCTGTGGCCAATGTGACATTTGATTCTTGGTTTAAACGATACGAAGACTTATTCTGCGTGGATTTTGCCAATCGTGACGACGCATGGAATGTTCGTTTTCTGCTCCGCAAACTCGGTTCCGCTGAACACCAAAAATACTCCAATTACATTCTACCACAGAACCCATGCCATCTGTCATTCGATGAAACGGTACAGGCACTTACGCAAATATTCAGTGAGCAAACATCACTCCAGTATTCGTTACCAATGTCTCAAACTTGTGAAACGTGACGCAGGCGATTTCTTCACTTATGCCAGTGTGGTTAATCGGGAATGCAAACGTTATGCTCTCTCACAAACGACCAGTCTAAGTGCCTCATGTTCATTTGCTGCCTTCAGTCGCCAAAGGATGCCGACATACGCACGCGACTTTTGAGCAAAGTTGAGCAGGATCCCCAGATGATGTTACAGACTGTGACTACTGAATGCAAGCGCCTCATAAATCCGAAATATGACACAACCATGGTCCAAAATTCTAACCGCCATGTCATTTCCATTCACTCTGTGGAGACTTCCAAACGTCTTGTCAGCACCAATCACCCACCCCACACACCATCTCCGTGTTGGCACTGCGGTGAATGCTACTTCTCTCCTTTTTGCTCGTTCAGACGTCACTGATGTCAGCGGTTTGATAAAGTTGGCCACAAAGACGCATTTTGTCAGAACCGGGCCAGTTCCAAGTAGCCCTTGAAACCGAAAAGCCATAAAGACGTCCTGCTCGAGCCGTTCATTCCCATAGCCTTCTAGCTACATTCAAATTGGATGTCGCTTTTCGCCATACATTTGTTTCTGTAAGAATCAGCGACCATCCTGCCAACCTTCAAGTAATCACCGCATCCAACATCACGATAACTTCTAAGGAGCTGTGGTTCCATAGATAGCCCAACTTTTCGAGTTACCTCTCAGGAAGTAACCAGTGCATGTGGTGGTTCGGTTCGACTTACCAATCAGTCTTCTTGCTCCGTCACCTACGGTGACAATACATTCAACGATATTTGTTATATTTCAGACTCCAGTCTCAATGTCCTTGGGGTGGATTGGATTGACAAGCTGAGTATTTCTGCCCTCCCACTAAACGCTACCTGACGCTGACTTCAAGCCCCATCGGCAAAGTCCATTGTCCGTGATTTCCCTACGGTCTTCCGCGAGGGTCTTGGCTGTTGCACACAGACTCAAGCAACTCTCCGGTTAAAACCTGGTTGTGTTCCGTCGTTTCGACCAAAGCGACCAGTACCCTATGCTACGCTCTCGTTGGTAGATCAGGAACTACGTCGCCTCGAAGAACTGGGCGTGCTATCCCCAGTGTCTTATTTTCAATGGGCAGCGCCAATTGTGGTTGCCAAAAGGGCAAATGGTTCAGTTCGCATACGTGCTGATTTTTCCACCAGACTAAATGCTTCTCTGGAAGACCATTGGCATCCACTACCGATTCCTGAGAATATCTTCACCATACTTAACGGAGGAACTTCTTTCGCCAAGGTGGATTTAGCTGACGCTTATTTGCAATTCGAAGTATCTCCGGAGTCTCGAGAATTGTTTACCATAAACACGCATCGCGGTTTGTTTCAGTACAACCGTCTACCTTTCGGCGTCAAGTCTGCTCCTGCTATTTTTCAATAAATAATGTACTCCATGATCTCTGGTGTAACCGGCGCGGCAGCCTAGCTGGATGACACCATTATACTGGGTCACACCGCTCATGAGCTGCTCGGAAGGATATCTGAGGTTTTACGTCGAATCGAAGCATACGGGTTCCGGCTGCCACCGGACAAATGCCAGTTATCCCGCTCAGAAATCAAATACCTTGGTTTCAGCATCGACAAAAGGGACCGCCGTCCTGACCCTGAAAATGTGCATGTAATCTGGGAAATGCCCGCTCCGAAGGATGTGTAATATCTACGGTCTTTCCTCGGGCCAACGGCTCACTACGGCACGTTGTTGCCTGCCCTCCACAATGCCACAACACCATTGAATAAACTGCTTAAAAAGGACAGCGTTTGGTCATGGTCTCCAGCATGTGAACGCGCATCCAGCCACCTAAAAGCAATGTTAGGTTTCGACCTCATGCTAACACATTTTAATCCCAAGCTACCGATCATAGTCGCCGCAGCACACACACACACACACACACACACACACTAAACACGTTAGCTATAGGTGGGAAACACGTCAGCTACTGTGCCGCAATAATTAAAAGAAAAGAAGGGAATAAAATGCTACAGGTGCAAGCCAGCTGAGCTACCGGTAACGGATAGACATCGTTCCGGTAAGCTATCTGCCGGCTACTATGCAGCAAAAAAGTAATTTCCTATGCAAAATTATAGTTGCCGCAGACGCCTTCAGCTGCGGCGTCGGTTCCGTCATCTCCCATGTATTTCCAGATGGATCGGAGGCATGCTTCCCGAAGGCTTACGCCAACCGAGAAGAATTATGCTCAAATCGAAAAGGAAGCTTTGGCACTAGTGTTTGCCTTGAGAAAGTTTCATCAGATGATCTGTGGTCGACACTTTAGCCTACTGACCGATCATAAGTTGTTACTCGCTATTTTCGGCTCTAAGAAGGGTATCCCGACATATTCCGACAGCAGATTACGGCATCGGGCAAACTTTCTATTGAACTATGACTTTGAAGTATGTTACCAGCAAACGAAAGATTTCGGTCAAGCCGACGCCTTATCCCGGTTAATCAGTTCAAATCGACAGGAGCTGGAAGATACCATTATCGCAACAGTCTCCATAGAATCGGATGTTCATTCGCACTTGGCTGGCGCTGTTCGTGCGGTTCCGGTCACTCTCCGCGACATCAAAAGAGAAACGAACATCGATCATGTCCTCCAGGAAGCAATTAATTGTTTCCGTAACCGATGGCCCACGAGTGCAGCAACTGGGGACCTACGACAGCCTTATCTTCGTCAAGCAAGCTTGTCCATAGTTGATTCCTGTTTGCTGTTTGCATATCACATTATTATCCCCTCTTCGCTTCGACCGATCGCCTTACGTCAGTTTCACGCTAGACATCTTGGTGCAGGATGAATGAAAGCCATCATCCGAAGCTACGTCTATTGGCCGGGTATCAACCAGCAATTAGAGACGTTGCTTCAGCGGTGTCCCCGCTGCCCACAGGCCGCCAAGACTCCTCCACGTGCCGCGCCACAACCGTGGACCCAATCTGATAGCCCGTGGTCTCGTCTACACGTCGATTTTGCTGGCCCAATCAACGGCATTATGTATCTCATCGTAATGGACACACCATTCAGGTGGCCCGAAATCATTCCTTTCTCACATGCAGTAGCATCGCCCACCACCTCTGCCCTTTGCAAAATTTTCAGTCAGTATGGATTTCTAGATACCTTGCTTTCAGATGAAGGAACCCAATTTACATCGGCACTTTTCGAGGGTTTCTGCCGTTGGAGTGTTATTCACTACATTCGCACCCCATCGTACCACCGTCAATCAGGTCGAACGGTTCGTGGACTCTCTTGAAAACGCGAGGGGAGGGAACTACTGATGTAAAGATTCAGGATTTCCCCATGCTTTACAGAAACATTCCAAATCCGGCAACACCAAATGGATCCTCCTCTGCCTTATGAGCAGGAAACCATGCACCATCTTCGATGCAATGTTGGGGTCTGAGAGACCGTCAGCAGTCCCAGTGCACCCATCAGGGAAAACATTCTCAATTGGTGATTTGGTCTACGCTCGTGATTACATTCAAGGTCATCCAGCATGGGTCCATGCAGTGGTAGCTTATCGCCGTGATTCTGTAGTGTATGAACTAACGGTTGGACCGCACAACTCGGTACGACACCAAAATCAACTTCGCCCACGCCATGAGGGTGTCGTAGACACTGAGAAAGAATTGCCATTCGAAATAATGCTAGACATGTTTGGGCTCATCCCTAATCCACTGATAGTGGCACCAAATGCATCGCTCGAACGGGTCTCCTTGCAGCCCAGAAGATGGACCGACCGGAAGCACCGTCCAACAAGGTCATTGCAACTGGATCCCCGACGTCCTAGCTACGGGTTTTCTTAAGAGGGGAGGTGTTGGAAAATAGCCATATTTCCCAAGAACTACACTTGAATCATCCAAAACCATGGACTTTTCGCTAGCTACCACTTTTTGATTTTAAACGCTGCTGGCTACCTGTTTCCGCTTCAAAACGAGCCTTGTGATTGGTGATTTGACAAGGCCGTTGAATGGCCTAAGCCAATCATAGGTTTTTGTCATTCTCTGATCTATCTCGTGCTGGCTTGTGAAAAGATCTCGTGCTTGAAGTCTTGTCTTTTCATTCCGGAATTGAGGCTATTGAATACTGCCGCATTTGTGATTATGTGTCGTGATTTCGTTGTGCGTGTTCAGTTTTTCGGTACGTATTTTGTTCCGAACTGCATTAGTGGTTGTAGGATCACAACACTGTTTTTATTCGTAATGATCTACTCGCGTAACCAGGTGTATCAATTGTTTAGCTGAGGTACCTTTGCCATCTGATTTCACAAACATATCTCAAGGCTATATCGGAATCGATGCTCGGAGAGCACTGAGTCCAGACTGTATTCTTGGTCAGAACAACTGTATCGTTGGTCAGTTTATCATGTCTTACCAATAGTGTTCGATCAAGTCTCTGTATGTTGATCGAAAAAACACCTTATCATCTGGCGTCGTTTGACCTTCACTAGCCGAGTTGTTCGCACTTAGATCTTTGCAGTTACTTTTCAGAATACAAACACATGTTTTGCGTTTTTTAGACTATCTTCATTTAATTCACCCACTGCTCATATAACGCTGGGGTTGACCTGCGAACGGAGGTTTCCTCACTCCGTTCTATTAATTTCAAGCGTGTTTGCGCTGACTATTGGACATTTTTTACTGGATCTTCATATTTTCTGTTGTCATTGCCTCTTCGTGGGATGCCATTATTGCATCTGGCAGCGATGAATTCCATTGAATCAACACGAATTCCACCGATTCTTAGCACCAGTCCCTACCTTACCAATGATTCTATCCTTAAATGCCAATACAAGATGTAGATCTTGTCTGTACGTGGCTGTGCATATGGCATACGGAACCAATACGCGCGTTCCCCTGATACCTCCCCACTCATCCACTGACAAACGTTTAGTTTTTCTATTACGCATTGTGTTTTACACTCATACAAGTCTTTCTTCGGCATTTCGCCACAGCATCGGGACATCTATCCCGATCAAAGACGTAGATTATTATAAACTGTTCACATTTTGACGGACGCTTTATTTTCTTTGATTTTGTGACCATCGACACTATTACAAGCAAAATTTGTTCAGGTTCATCAGTTCTGCGAATCAGCTCACTTATTCTAGCACCTTATCGATCATGGCCTGTTGCGCTATCCATGCTATCTCCGTGTTTCTCACTAACCCTAACTCTCGGTTTCCTTTTACTCAGGCCATGGCAAACTCACTCATTCCCACCGAAGAGCTAATTGCGAAAGCCGCACACAAATCCAACTGCTCGCCCTCAGATGTGATTCCCCGAGTTTTCCTTCGCCAACTTCTCCGATGGTTCAAGGAGGAGTTTTTCCGTTGGGCTGACGAGTTCAAGTGTGAAACATGCAACGTGAGTTGCATACCCCTGTCCGCGTTGTTTCCACCATTGCTTTCTCAGTATCGTTTAGATCAGACGATGACGGTGCCTATCTCCGTTTTGATCTTTATCATTGATCAGACCACATAGGTGGACTGTGTCTCTTATCGTCGAGAAATATACCATTTATTTATTTATCTTAATCTAATCTTTTCAACCGGAACCACATAGTAAGAATAAGCTGTAACACCTGTGGTGCAGTAGCACATTATATTTAGATACTGTTATCCTAATGATACGGAGGCTCGATTTGTGACCTCTACAGCCCCATATCGAGACCACTCTACATGGGTCCGGATGCATCGGCCGTAAAGCAGCCCGCTTAAATTGCCTGGGGTTGCGTGACTGAGAAGCAGCGGCACGAATTCCTCTTGCGCCCCTTATCCTGCATATTGTCGGATGTCACTTCATGCCTATCTACTCCTCCGCATGCCTCAAATTCTGTCATTTTAGGGACCTGGGCATCAAGCTGCTGATATGTTAGTTATTACAACAACTGGGAAAACTGCTATTATGAACATGGGTGCGCACACTGAGGCCTGAAGGCTAGTGCGCCAAAGCGAGATCTGGACAAAGGTCGTTGGGGTCCCCGCATTTGACTTTGACAACCCGGCAGCATCTAGCGAAAGACTCACCTTGAGGTTGCACTGAATGTTGCTGGCCATATCGGTTGCGGTTAATCATCTACCTTCCTCACTTTGTTTCCACATCCATTCTTTCGGGTTATATACTGCGTGGAAATGAGTCATTTTCGGTGACAGGGCTCTCCGCTTTCGCGTTACTTGATACAAGCAGAATATACTTGACACCGCACTCACCAGACTGCTCAGTGTTGGTCATTCTGGACAAGCAGCTCGTATGCATCGAGAGGAATACATACGTTAGTCTGCGGAGCACACAGTTCTGAGACTGAGTGTCTCGTAGCCACTGGGTAGTCAAATGCACCATACCCCAAGCATTTTGCACTGTTTCGGCGATCAAAAAGCGCTTCTGGTTCATTGCAATCAGAGGCTGTGAGGAATAGGACTATAAACGATTAGGCTTGAATTTTCGTCAACTAAACATAATGTTGTGCAACTAAGCTGTTGTATCAAGAAAGCCGTAGGAAAGGTACAAATGTATCTCGCAAAATTAACCAAGTACAACTGAGTCAATCCCTTGTTAAACGGAGAGTCAAGCGACAGACACACACACAACCAATAGTAAGATAGGAATGAGTCAGCAAGCCAACCAATGAGATCGAGCCAATCGATGTTGCTCACATGGTTACCACATTATCGTTCCCCCCTCCGAAAAGCTGCCTCAACCTGGTTCGTAGCGATCAATAGGTTTCACCGTTCTCGCGGACCGACGCAGCTGACTTCATGGTAATGGTAACTCAGCCAGGTCTTTGCGCGAGGATCGGTCGGGCTGATTAGCTGGTCCGGGAGCTGTGTGGAGTCGACGCGCGTTGACAATTAGGCCGTTCTCCAATCGATAGGTGCCTGGGTCAAGCGTACGGTCGATGCGCACTGGAGCGGAAAGCGAAGGTGTGCCTTTATTTGTCGCCCTGCTTTGGACGCGAACGTATTTCCCGGGCTGCATTGGTGTCGATACTTTAGCGTAGGAATTTTGGTAAGATGCTATGCGATTTGAAACTTCGGCATCTCTCGCTGCTAAAAGGTTATGTGCAGCATTTAACTTTGTGCGTAAGGGCCTTCCTAGCATCAGCTCGGCTGGCGTTCTTCCGGTGGCTCTGTGGTCACATGTTCTGTAGGAAAATACCGCAGTTAAAACTGCATCCTCCCAGTCCGAACCTCCTATGTGTATGGCTTGTATAGCTTTTTTTAGAGACCGGTTTAAACGCTCAACCATGCCGTTGGCTGCAGGATTGTAGGGCGCAGTTCTGGAGTGCTTAATGTTATGGCAATGTAGAAAATCTGCGAATTCGCGGCTACAAAATTGTGGCCCGTTATCCGTTACTATTTCATGCGGTAAACCGAAACGGCTGAACAAGTGTTTAAGCCAACGTAATACAACCGAAGTAGTAACTTGGTCGCACCTGTGTACTTCAGGCCATCTACTGTAAAAACATGTAGCAACAAGTAGATTTCGCTTATTGGTAGGAGCAGTAGCGAAAGGGCCCATAATATCAATGGCGATTTTGGTCCATGGTTTCATCGGGTAAGCAATTGGCTGTCGGGGCTTTGACGGGCAAAGAACTTTTGTCCACTAATTGGCAAGCATTGCAATTGACCACAAATGTCTCAATGCTAGATGCCATTCTTGGCCACCAGAAATAGAGTCTCACTCGATTTTGGTCCGAACTATACCTGGATGTCCCTCATGTGCACAAGCTATTATCTTGGCTATCAACTGGGGCGGAGCTACAAACACTGAACCGCGCATCAGGCAACCATCTACCACTGATAGTTCATGTCGAATTGCATAATACGGAATGAACTCACCGGGGATTTTGTTATTCTTGGGCCAGCCCTGTTGCACATATCCAATGAGCTCATTCAGTAAAGAATCGTTAGAATTTTCCCTTCGTAGTTCCTCGATCGTCAAGGCCGACAGGTTAGCTCCGAGACTAGAAACTAATACCGCCTCTCTGAGTCTCTCTTTTTCATCTTCCAACCCCAAGGGTAAGCGAGATAGTCCGTCAGCAATCTGATTTTGCAAACCTGGCCGGTACACAATTTCAAAATCGTAGTTAAGGAGCCTGGCATACCAGCGATCGATTCGCATTGGGCGAGATCCTTTAAATCCATTGCTGAGAAGAGCTGTTAGGGCTGGATGATCAGTACGCAGAATAAAACGACGACCGAACAGACATAAATGCCACTTTTCACAGGCCCACACACATGCAATAGCTTCTTTTTCCCCAACTGAATAATGACGTTCGGAATCTGATAACTTTCATGATGCGTAGGCAATAACTTTCTCCTCTTGGTTTTGTATTTGTGAGAGGACAACTCCGAGACCGATATCAGACACATCAGTGGACACAAAGGTGCGGCAAGATTCGTCAAAAATGGCAACTAAGGGAGCAGACGCAGCTCTCCTTTTCAGTTCATCAAAGGCATTTTGATGATTGCTACCCCAAACGAACAATGATCCTTTCTTTGTTAACTGTCGTAATGGATCTGCCACGGTCGCAAAATCCGGCACATAGCGCAGGTTATAGGAGCACATTCCTAAAAAGGACTTTAGTTCTGTCAAGTTTTTGGGTGTTGGCGCTTCAGAGATGGCCCTGATATTTTCATCACTTGGTCGAATGCCACTGCGTGAAATGATGTGTCCCAAAAACTGAATTTCTTGTGCATTGAAGAGACATTTTTCTGCGTTCAGACACAAATTGAGATCACTGAGGCGCTGGAGGACTTTGTGTAGTCTTTCATCATGTTCTTCCTGTGAGCGGCCGAAAGCACAAATATCATCCATGTAGGCAACCTGCCCATCGATACCTGCCAGGGCGTGAGTCATGAACTTTCGCCAGGTGGCGGGCGCGGAACTCAAACCCATGGGTAAGACTTTGTCCTGAAATAGGCCATCAGGAGCAAGAAAGGCAGTTAGGTGTTTAGAATCATCGGCCAATGGCATATGGAAAAATGCACTTTTCAAATCTAGCTTGGAAAAAACAGTTGCACCAGCTAAACGTACAGTGAGTTCATCATTAGATGGCAAAACAAAGCGCTCTACGACGATCTGTTTGTTCAGCGTCTGCAAATCGTTGCATATCCGGACAGTACCGTCTTTTTACATGACACTAACCATTGGATGCACCCACTCAGAGCAGTCGATGGGTCCAATAAAATCATTTGCTAGCATCGCTTGCAGGGCTGCTGAGACCGCTTCACGTTTCGTTAGCGGAATGGGTCGAGGTTGACCAATGGCGACCGGTTTCGCATTCGGTTTCAGCTGAATTCGATGCACTCCACATGGAATACGGCCGATGGACTTCTGGAAGAGCTGCGGATAATGTTCCTGCCAGTGTGCTACGTTGACGGAAGAGATAAGCATGCGGTCTAATGATGGTACAATATGCAAAGCCACCATAGCATTCCTCCCAAGCAAGGGTCGTCTGTTGTCCGAAGAAATATACACTGCGACATCGGCAATCACAGAATGCAACTGCAAGGGCACGATAATAAATCCAAATATGGTTAGTGTGTTCCCACTATAACTCCAGAATGAATGTGAGGTGGGATGTAAAGTATGCTGTGATAGGTAGCGTTCATAAAATTGGAAAGGCACGATAGTGACTGGAGAAGCAGAATCAAGTTCCATTTCCAATGGAACAGCACCTTTAACAGTAAGGAACAATACAGTACGAATGTCAACAGCAAGAAACTTCGGTTCAACAACGGATATGGTTACACAACCTGAAGGTATGGAATCAGCGGTGATTGAATAGATATTGTCTTGAGTTGGATCGGTAACATGGCATTCCGGTGTATCATCATCTTTAATGAGCGCGACAGCCTGCGATCGACAACAGCGGGCATAGTGTCCAATTTTACCACAGTTTTTACATTTGAGGCTGCGTGCGGGACAACCGGCAAAATTAGCTTTGTGAGACGTGCTCCCACAACGATAGCAAGACAGTTTGTCTGTCGGACGTTGCCGGAAAGATTGTACTCTCACCACTTCAGCTAAGCTGGTGGAGCAAAACTGCTTCGATTGCAATGAAATTTCTGTCTTTACTCGGGCTAATTCGCAAGCTCGATCCCACGTTAGTGTGCAAGCGTCTTCCTGCAATAGCCCCTCACGTATGCGATTGTCAGCGATTCCAGTTATCAGTTGCTGAGTGAGCATACAGCCTTCAATCTTTTTCTGTGGAATAGACGAGTAGGCACACGGTCGTACTGCACGACTCAGCCGAGCAATGAAATCATTCAAAGGTTCGCCTGCTTCTTGGTGTATTCTGGAGAAAATATATCGCGCGGTAAACACGGTTATTTGGTAACTCCATGCACGATCAAGAGCATTGAAGGCGTCTATAACCGATTTACATCCATGGGGACCCAAATCATCGAATTGCTGCTGTCCTTCATCTCCGAGTAAATGTCGAAGCAGCTTCAATCTTTTATTCACACTAAGAGCAATAGTGAGATCGCTGATTAAATCCAAGTAGTTTAGGAAGGATGCTTTCCAACAAAACCAGGCATCCGATGTCGGTCTGCTGCCGCAATCAGTCCAAAATGGAGATGGGGGTTGGATGGAAAGGTTCATTTTTGCCTCCGCGACCCCACAATGTTGTATCAAGAAAGCCGCAGGACAGGTACAATATGTATCTCGCAAAATTAACCAAGTACAAGTGAGACAATCCCTTGTTAAACGGAGAGTCAAGCGGCAGACACACGACCAATAGTAAGGTAGGAATGAGTCAGCAAGCCAACCAATAAGATTGAGCCAATCGATGTTGCTCACATATTTACCACATAAGCGAACTAACACATAAGTAGAAACTTCATCACATCTAGGCTCACTCAGACAGCCGCCACAAGCCCGGAAAAGCACTGTACGCGCGTTTCATCCTTTCGGGAATCATCAGCAGTGCGCATTCCATCGGACCCTTGGTAGGGCTCGAAACCGCAACTCGACTGTTGCCAGTCCGTGGTTGAGACCACTGAGCTACGGGGGACGGCAACGACCATCGTGAATAAGTTACTAGATGTGATATAGCGCCGCTCACTATCCACTGACTTACACGTTACTGCCGTGCAGAGGACAGGGTAGCCCCCTCACCAAGCGACGAGCTTAACAAACTTAAGCCGCCAATTATCTTATGGCATTATAAGCAGTTTGTTCTGTGTACTGATTACAGAAGAGTAGTAGGGGGAGTTGAATGGTATAGGTAGAATTTCGTCACATCTAGGCTCACTCAGACAGCCGCCACAAGCCCGGAAAAGCACTGTACGCGCGTTTCATCCTTTCGGGAATCATCAGCAGTGCGCATTCCATCGGACCCCTGGTAGGGCTCGAAACCGCAACTCGACTGTTGCCAGTCCGTGGTTCAGACCACTGAGCTACGGGGGACGGCAACGACCATCGTGAATAAGTTACTAGATGTGATATAGCGCCGCTCACTATCCACTGACTTACACGTTACTGCCGTGCAGAGGACAGGGTAGCCCCCTCACCAAGCGACGAGCTTAACAAACTTAAGCCGCCAGTTATCTTATGGCATTATAAGCAGTTTGTTCTGTGTACTGATTACAGAAGAGTAGTAGGGGGAGTTGAATGGTATAGGTAGAATTTCGTCACATCTAGGCTCACTCAGACAGCCGCCACAAGCCCGGAAAAGCACTGTACGCGCGTTTCATCCTTTCGGGAATCATCAGCAGTGCGCATTCCATCGGACCCTTGGTAGGGCTCGAAACCGCAACTCGACTGTTGCCAGTCCGTGGTTGAGACCACTGAGCTACGGGGGACGGCAACGACCATCGTGAATAAGTTACTAGATGTGATATAGCGCCGCTCACTATCCACTGACTTACACGTTACTGCCGTGCAGAGGACAGGGTAGCCCCCTCACCAAGCGACGAGCTTAACAAACTTAAGCCGCCAATTATCTTATGGCATTATAAGCAGTTTGTTCTGTGTACTGATTACAGAAGAGTAGTAGGGGGAGTTGAATGGTATAGGTAGAATTTCGTCACATCTAGGCTCACTCAGACAGCCGCCACAAGCCCGGAAAAGCACTGTACGCGCGTTTCATCCTTTCGGGAATCATCAGCAGTGCGCATTCCATCGGACCCTTGGTAGGGCTCGAAACCGCAACTCGACTGTTGCCAGTCCGTGGTTGAGACCACTGAGCTACGGGGGACGGCAACGACCATCGTGAATAAGTTACTAGATGTGATATAGCGCCGCTCACTATCCACTGACTTACACGCGGTTTCGAGCCCTACCAAGGGTCCGATGGAATGCGCACTGCTGATGATTCCCGAAAGGATGAAGCGCGCGTACAGTGCTTTTCCGGGCGTGTGGCGGATGTCTGAGTGAGCCTAGATTTGACGAAGTTTCTACCTATACCATTCAACTCCCCCTACTACCCTTCTGTAATCAGTACGCAGAACAAACTGCTTATAATGCCATAAGATAATTAGCAGCTTAAGTTTGTTAAGCTCGTCGCTTGGTGAGGGGGCTACCCTGTCCTCTGCACGGCAGTAACGTGTAAGTCAGTGGATAGTGAGCGGCGCTATATCACATCTAGTAACTTATTCACGATGGTCGTTGCCGTCCCCCGTAGCTCAGTGGTCTCAACCACGGACTGGCAACAGTCGAGTTGCGGTTTCGAGCCCTACCAAGGGTCCGATGGAATGCGCACTGCTGATGATTCCCGAAAGGATGAAACGCGCGTACAGTGCTTTTCCGGGCTTGTGGCGGCTGTCTGAGTGAGCCTAGATGTGACGAAATTCTACCTATACCATTCAACTCCCCCTACTACTCTTCTGTAATCAGTACACAGAACAAACTGCTTATAATGCCATAAGATAATTGGCGGCTTAAGTTTGTTAAGCTCGTCGCTTGGTGAGGGGGCTACCCTGTCCTCTGCACGGCAGTAACGTGTAAGTCAGTGGATAGTGAGCGGCGCTATATCACATCTAGTAACTTATTCACGATGGTCGTTGCCGTCCCCCGTAGCTCAGTGGTCTCAACCACGGACTGGCAACAGTCGAGTTGCGGTTTCGAGCCCTACCAAGGGTCCGATGGAATGCGCACTGCTGATGATTCCCGAAAGGATGAAACGCGCGTACAGTGCTTTTCCGGGCTTGTGGCGGCTGTCTGAGTGAGCCTAGATGTGACGAAATTCTACCTATACCATTCAACTCCCCCTACTACTCTTCTGTAATCAGTACACAGAACAAACTGCTTATAATGCCATAAGATAATTGGCGGCTTAAGTTTGTTAAGCTCGTCGCTTGGTGAGGGGGCTACCCTGTCCTCTGCACGGCAGTAACGTGTAAGTCAGTGGATAGTGAGCGGCGCTATATCACATCTAGTAACTTATTCACGATGGTCGTTGCCGTCCCCCGTAGCTCAGTGGTCTCAACCACGGACTGGCAACAGTCGAGTTGCGGTTTCGAGCCCTACCAAGGGTCCGATGGAATGCGCACTGCTGATGATTCCCGAAAGGATGAAACGCGCGTACAGTGCTTTTCCGGGCTTGTGGCGGCTGTCTGAGTGAGCCTAGATGTGACGAAGTTTCTACCTATACCATTCAACTCCCCCTACTACCCTTCTGTAACACATAAGTGTGGATATCATTTGGTTCGTCCTAATAATCCAGCCTGTCGAGTGCAAAAGTACCGTCAGGCAGCAGAATTGCGAAAATATCTTAAGCGATGCACTACTCAGAAATTGTCAGTACCGTCGTACAATCTCGCGAATTGTAATTCACGGCTGCTACATCCGCATTTCTCTCATCCGGTCAATTTGTCACTTTGTCACTTGCTGATGCATTACAAGGACCCCATACTGTAGTTGCGCGGTCAGTTTAACTGGGGCCGTAAAGGTTGGGATTGGTTTTGGCTCTTTGTCGATCAGTGTGTATGTGATCACATTGCTTTCTGTCGAGCCTGAATTCTCTACTTAAGGACGCGTATCCATGGTCTCATTCTTCCGCCATTCCTGTGTAAAATTTTACTCATGCATTCTTCGGACATCGGCATGGTTGGGCGTTTTACGTTTTTATTTCTCAATGCTAGCATTTCACTTTTAACAATACCGATTAACGAATAGCTACGCTCCGCCTTTTCTGCACACTGACACCCATTTTCTCCTATGTATATCCTTTTGCTTGCAATTTCGAACCTATCTTAAGTTGTCTATTGTCTTTACTTTAAAGTCTAAAACCACGGTAACAAAAATTTAAGTTTCGTCTCCTCTGCCTAAATCGTGCGAAAATTTTTGTTTACTTTTCCCTTTCCGTCTCGTGCGACTTAGTTTAGGGTTCGTATTGTCGCTACCTACATTATGAATAACTTTGTTTTCTACTCCTACCCGCTCAAACGTACTCGTTTCTCGGTTTCAGTGTTCTTATCTCGAATTGAATTGTGTTCGAATCATTATATAGGTCTTCGAGAGCTTAGTCGAATTGAACCAAACTCCTGTGGCTGAATACCTTGGCTGATACAATAGAGTGGCGATCATCTGTATCACATGAATAACTAATTTCTCACTTGTTCATGACCATTACGTATGGAAGGTGCAACTCAAATTGTTCTCATTGCGGTCAATTCGGAGATTGCTTCAGCGTTTTTGTTAAACATGTTGCTCGCTAAGGGCTTCATGATCCGGTGGAATGATTTGTGCCTAAATAAGGATTTGACTAGCTATATCACTTTCACAGTACACTTGTCGGGGGTGTACGTTTGTTGCATTGAGCCAGGGATGTGCTAATACAAATTCGACATCATTCGGCAAAAGTATGAATTAAACCCGTTGCTGAGTCCCGAATGATTTGGTAATGACTGTACGGTTGAATGTGTACAATTCATAGATGAAGAGAACCTGAGAGACCGCTATTCGTAGATAACCCCGCACCTGTGGCCCTACCTCACGTGTTTTTCCCTCACTTTTTCTCTTTTCCGTCCGCACTCGCATGGCAGTCTCGTATGACTGCGTGTGGCTTTGTGACGCCAAATCAGACGGAACGCGAGGGCGCCGCTAGCAGTGTGGAGTTATACAAATGTACTGGAGATGCGACCCATCCATCCTACAGGTTTCCACGTCTGAACGACCCAAAAGCGCTCCTTCACACACGTTTGGGTCGGTGCGGCGAGTGGGCCAATTGTTTGGCTTTATGCCTAGTGTCTGTCCGCCGTCCCCCCGAGGCTGGTGGACAACCTTGGTTTCCCGCATGCCGGTTGGTAGTTTGCTGGACCGACCATGTGTGGTGTGAAGTGTGAGTCCCTCTCTAATTACTCAGCTGTGATGTGTTTCCCTCATGTTTGTTCTTTGCACCAACCCTTTTATCCATTTGGGTTTACTTGTGTTTGCGTTTTATTCTGCACTTTCTTTTCTGTCGTTAGAACAAACCGTTAGACGGATTCAGATTTCCATCGACTTCACCAGTTCTTGATCCATCAACGCCTTCTCTTTCTGGAATTTTTATTAGCACGCGGACTTCGTCTGGTTATTTCCTTTCAGACCTACACTATTTGTTCGCTCCGAACATGTTTCTCATTCGTCATTCTACCTACTGCGCCTTTCTGTTTTCTCACAGCTGGCTAGAAGACGAGATACATCCTGGCCGTTATCGCTGGGTTCATTGCGATCCAGGTGGTGAAATCGATCAGCCTCTGTTGTACGAAAGTGGCTGGGGCAAGAAGCTAGACTATGTGTTCGCGTACACCGTTCCCCCGCCAGTATTCGACTTCGATTCACCGGATTCCATCCACGCAGTCGACGTCCAAGACGTCGTCTGGCGGTACACTCGCAATTTTAGTGAAGTGAGTTGCTACGGAGAGCCCAACAGAGCTGTTTGCCCCCACTTTAATCAGTAGATTTTTCTTTTTTCCATTTCGTTCTTTATCAACTATAATGAAGTCGTGTATATAGACCATTTTAAGTTCAAAGACAACAGACGTGATCCTTTGTGACCTCTCTATCATCAACCCAACCACGCACAACTAGTTGATTTACACCTCCGCTCGTGTTTCAACCTGTTTACTTGATCTAGGCTATCGTTTATTTACGAAGTCAGTACGTACTCACTATCAGTAATCATTGTTCCGTTTCACTAATTCATGTAGACCATTTCGATGTAACGCAGCCCTGATGTTATGAAATGGCTTTCGTTCTCCAGAAATTTGTTGGGCTTATCTGGATCCAACTTTTCAGCCGCTTCAAAGCTACTTACATCAGGCAGATGAATGATTTGCGTTTTATCATCGTCCTTTTGGCGTTTTGAAGGGCAACAGTTTATTTTTTATACTCACATTCTTTTTATGGGAATTGATTGTGCACACAATTAGCGCAACTCGTTTGACGTGGAGCACGAGCTCTACTGCTTGTCTCTGTCGGTGGGCTCACTGGCTTCTTACCGTTAGCCATAGCTTGTTAACGCAGCGAATTCCACCTACTGCTGACGACGGTTGAAGGTTGTCATACGCTGTATGTGACCGGACTTAAGCAATCAACCGTGGAATTGTGAAGGGTTTCAGTCTTGCTCTCTCATGCACTCCACGATCCACGGTTTCGTCCTTGTTTGGACTCCTCAGATAGAGATAACCTGATCCGGAAGTGGAACTCGGCACGTACTCGTTGGCAGCTATCGCCATGATCACTAGACCATTGATCTCCGTGAGCAGGGCTTAACGCAGCGGCTAGAATTTTATTCTCGGGTTTTGTAGTACCTGCCGTAGGTTTTAGGTTGCGAGACACAACCTCAGTTGTGGCTTCGGTTGACTTTGAAGCCAGCCGGTTCCATTTAAATCACTGGGCTCACTGATTTCCTATCGTTAGCCTTTACTTCCTAGGTTGTAAACCTACCTGCTGCTGGCGGCGGCCGAATGTGTGTCATACGCTACGTGTGACCTGCCTCAAACAACTAACCGTTGGATTCTTTATCCACACTGCTGAGATGGAGTTGTCCCTCACTCCCTGATATACCAGACTGTTGAATCAAGGTCTCAGCATGTAGCTCCGCGATGAAAATTCGTTTTGGAGCGGTCCGCTAGATGAATCGCCTGCGTGCAAAGTTCCCCTTCTGATTTCCATCCGTTTTCTGTCTCATTCACTGCAAGCGTTTTCCTCCTTTATCGTGAAACTAATCGAAACATCATAACATGTACATATGATTTATATCTGCACTTTTCTAAAAGTAAACAGATGGGCTTGCATCCATTACTGGAAGTTCAGCCGACCAGTAGGCAACGGCGATCCAAAACTCACATATAGAGCTTTAACTTCGGAACACACCCTCGTTTAAGTGGTTCTAATTTCAGTGACAAGCTATTTCCTTCTCTTAAGCCATAACCCCATCGATGACATCTACTGAATGCAATTTGTTCGCATGGGTGGCAGTTCTTATCAGCACATACTTTTTTGGATTTGTACCTCTGTAAGATTTAAACCGCACATTACGAAGGCGCTTTACTTTTTCTCGTTTCCACCCACGCTATTACACTACGTAGCTTAGTGGTTATTGAAAATGAAATCTACTTGCACTCTTCTCATTTAATGAAGATGAAACGACCTATGGATGGTCATTTTAGTGTCAGCTCCTCTAACTGTGTACCCGTCGAAACCGCTTCAAAACAGCGCCTCCACCCAACAGCAGCGTTCGCATCAGTTCGACTGGCACACACTAGATAAAACGATATATTTTTCATCCGTGTTGTCCACGTCATCACCAACTGCATTTGGCGCACTTGCCGACTGTCAGTTTCTGGTCCTCCGCGAGCTATCGGACTACAAAGTTTCTGTCTGCTACTTACTAAAGTCCGCATCTCCATCACATTGATTACCGGGACCAGTTTGCCAATTACGGACTTAAGTCTCATCCAATGCTCCAAGTAGCAAGCATTGGAATCTCGTTGTCCGCTTTATTTCAATGGGTTGGATGGTTCGAGAATTGCTACTTTTTCTTCATCGGAAAATGGAAATCTATCCTCAGATTAGCCTTACAACAGCTCCTACTACGAAACTGGCATCACTCTTGCACCGATAGTGTCATTTCCAATAGTGATGAAACATTTACAGTCAAGTTGCCAGGCGAACGCCCGAGCAACTGAACAAGCCTTCCGAGCTACCAGTATTCCAAGTAATTTTGAACACTGCAGTCTATCTGGGGTTACTTCATCGATCACTATATCAACCTGCTCACTTTACGAATAAAATTTCAATAGACCGGTTGCTTTTGAGCACCAGTACCTTCGTCCCTTGTTCGTATATGTTGAGGTTACCGGTTACTGCTCTATTGATGTTTTACAAAAGCTGTCTCGTACAGCGCCTCACCATCTGTGTTCAACGTGCACTCCCTCATTGGATTACGCGTGTTCCTCGGCCGATGACCAAAGGGGTAAGGAGTCTGGCTTGTTACCCACGGGTCACCGATACGAATCTGCGTACATGCGCGCGACCCTGCCGTATCCCTAACCCCAGCACGCAACTGGTTCTGGTTTCGTGTTAGTCTCGAAGTGGCGCACCGGCTGACACCTCTCTTCTCTCCCATGCATGTCAGTCGTGGCGGGTTATTGTCGAACAGTTCGCTTGGTTACGTGAAGCTGCGTGACAGTGGACCTACGCACTAGTCACCAGCATCATTCTACTCGTTGGCTAAAAGTGAGAATCACATTAGCTATCGTACTGCAATACAGTTTAATCACGTGGTCGTGAAAAGGGAAAATGGAACAAAACAAAAGCTAAAACAACTATCATACTTTGTTTTTGTTGTACACTAGTGCTAAGATCTTTCTTAGGAGACGAGGCTCAGTGGGAAAGGAGGGGAAACATAGAAATTCACGGCACAAGTACCACTGTATTCGATTCTTGATATTTCCAACAGTGTTTAAAACCAAGCATGCACATCATTTTTGGGACATTTACACGGAGCCAGTGGAGGCCAAGTTCAAAGTACCAGTATTCATTCCTCGACCTAGTCACTGGTTGATCTCCATTCTTCTTCTTTTATCCACAATACACGTTGTTGAGTCGGTACAGTGGCATGCGTGACACATAGCTCAGCCATAAGAGCCTGGTGCGTGGGATAATGGGGCTGAGCGCTTAACTTTCTCTTCCTCTACCATATACAAAGCACCGAACTCGCTTGCTCTCGTGGTCTTCTCACCAGATGTGGTCCAAACCTGAAAGGCAACGGTGGTCGGAAATAAATAGGCTCTTTACGCCTGTGGATCTGATGCGCCAGGTTGCGCAGCCGTACAAGTGGGTTGAACGGACGGTTGCATTGTAGACTGTAACCTTCATACGAGAGTGATATCGCATCGGCGCCACAAATGACGAGTATTTACAAATGCTCCTCGACCGATAGTTAAATGGTTCTTGACCTTACGGAAGTTAGAGTGATGATTTGTTCAAGAGTTATGCTTGGCATGTGTGGTATGGTGTTACTACAACTTCATCTCCTGTTCCGCAGGCGCTAATATGGCTGCTCAGGCAGCCATGAGTCAGCGCGGGGAATGGTCTTTGCCAACTTTGGAAGAAGGCTATGTATTTTGTGGGTGCGAAACAACCCGGAACTATTGACCATCAATTATACCTTGTGCAGCAATCCTTGGCAGCTTTGTGAAGTGCTGCATGTTTAACCTGGAAACAATTCCACACCGTTTATTTCGAGTCCGGTAAAAGCGGTTTCCAAAATCCATCAATGCGGAGTTGAAATAGAAGTGGCAGCTAGCATATCTGTCTCACACCGCTGGAGATATTGAACAGCGACGACGATTTACTATTAGCTATCTATACGAACTACGGGCATAAAGTGCTCTCCTAGTATTTACGTATTTCCCAGACACATCGATCTGCAGAATGGAAGGCGCACTTAATGTCGAGGAACACGTGTGCTCCAAATCGAGCTGCAGTTTTGAACGCAGCCTCTCCAGCGGCAGATGATCGCGACAATGGCTGGTCCGATGCTGCTGGGCACTCGTTGGCGGGTGCAGTATACTTGCGAGGAATAAACAAGCCTCTTCACACAGATGTGGCAGACACTTCCCGTTATTATTACAGTGGGCTGCACCTTGTTAACCGACCAAATGGAGTTTTCAGTGAACAATTTTCCGGCTTGTGTTTAAATCACTACATCCATGTCACTTGTGCGACGAGGAAGGTCGTTCAGTTGCTGCTACTAGTCGTCACGGAGTCGGCGCTACTGTGCGGGAGAACGTCGGGAGCGTTGACACGCGCAACAATTTAACTTTGTTTTACCTTAGTTTTAACAACATGTTCCTAATAGCCATTTGTCTTAGTTGAATTTTCTTACTCTACGATTTCCGTCGATGTAGTGAAGCCCAGAGTTTTACAACGCCGCTTCTTGAATTGTGGTACCGTCACTCTAAATCATTTGAGTCATTTCGCTGGGTATACTAGATGCCATTCACATCTGGAGGGATCTGCATTGTAACGCTATAATCTTTACTGCTTCTTCTCTGGTTCCCGTAAACCGAGCCTTCCGGTCAAGTTTATGTACGCTTCTGCTTGTGTTTGTATACTCGGTAACAATTAGAGTCAACGAAGACCCTCGTCGTCGAAGATGTGCCAACTCGACATTAAGCTTATTTTTCACTGACGTTGTAACTGCGTGACTTTTTTCTATCCTTTTAACTGTGCGAATTATACCATACCATCTAGACGTAGCGTTGCTGTTTTGCAGTAGAGAAACTTTGGGTATCTGTTTTCATCCTTTCGAATACTCAGTCTTCATGTGTAGCATGCAGTTGAGCTTAGTAGGTCCCTCCTTTCCTGTACAGCTGATGATTTTCGTGACCGATGGATAGGAGACGACTCTTTCTGTCAACCTATACCGTATATTGTCGTGAATAAGCCGAGGGATTTTGGGCAATGTTTCATGCCTGTAGTGTGGCACTAGGCGTATTCAAAGTTTGTGCGCATTTTGAAAATATCACACGCAACATCCACCCAGAAATTCACACACATGTATACCCCTATCTTTCCTTAGCACCACTCGCTAGTGTCAGACTGTATCCCAGACCGGGAGTTGAAGTGTCTATAGGTAGACATGGAATGTGGGGACATTCTTTCTCAGCGGGTTTATGTGACGTCACGTTAGCTCTATTTTTGTTAGCGGATCACGGCGCTTATACATTATGCTATTCTAGTCAATCTGGTGCAGTAAAAGTACAACGTCGTCCCACACTATTGATCTTGCTTTTCCCTCTCACTCGCCGCTCTACGGCGACACAGACGCAGTGGTGGTGGTGTCTGACACCCTTTCACCTTGCCCCATATCGTCGGCTGTCTTACCTGTTTCGTGTGACGACATCTAATCAATACATTATCCAGTGCGGTTAAAATCTGATGGCTCTAAGCCCTATTAACTACGATCATAACACATTAGGTTGTCAGAACTGACCAGTAGTAAAGCACCTTTCGCTTGAGCACGCTGAAGTGACAGCAGGTAGTGATGAAGTTAAAGTCATGGGAAACAATTTCCTTTCTCTTTTTGCTAATTTTTGTGGGGGTTGGCTAATATACGTACTTACGATTTTGGACAAATTTAACGTTGCAAAGTCATACTGTTGACTTATGAACGGGTCGGCTTATATACGGTACTATACGGTAATTGCTTTACCCGCCTTTCGAATTGAGATAACAATACCCTGCGACAGTGTTGTTTACACAGCGAGGAGGCTGGGACATTTTTAGTTTGTAACAAAATTTCGAAATTTACGTTCTGCTTAAGCCATTAGGAATTTGTCTTTTAGCCCAAGCTTGAAAACTGGAGCATGTCCGTGAAAGGAGGCAACCTTTCATTCTAGTTGGTTGCTTTTGCACGTCTTTAGACCAATCAATGGTTCGCGACCTTTATTCAGCTGAGTGTCGCATGCTATGGTGTGTGTATTTGAGGACCAGATTGATGTGAGATAGCCCAAGCAGTACGTCATTCCGCCCGGTACAAATGACACTTCTTGAAGGATTGGATGGGACCCAATTCGTCATATTGCAGCTGGTGACTATGTACAGCATGTCAACTCTGAGACGCATTCCGTTTTCCTTCCACAGCGTTTGGAATGCATTACATTGTGTATTTCGGTATGGACGCGATACAAATGCCCCCAGAGAACTGCGCCACTCAACACTACACACATTCGTTTGACATTTTGGATGTTGTAAATTGTTGGTGGTAGTTATAGTCAGTACTGGCGTTGTTTGGCTCGAAATGTTTACTGAGCACGAGTTTCATGATACCATTTTCGGCTCATATCATTTTGATTGTGGCTTTCGACACCAGACATCTCCACAGATGGAAGCGCTTATTCTCACTTCATTTGTTGTTATGGCACCAACAGTAGTGGCAGCTTAAGTCAAAGCAACTCGTTACAGCTTACACTGCTGCACATATCGTAGTTGTTCAGCGGAACCGAATTACACATTTATATTTTTCTACTCCTATCTCAACCCTCTTGTTCTGCTATTCCCCTATTACTTCTGAGCGAGCTTGGAATTGGCCTGATTGCTGTGGCAGGTTGATTCAAATTAACAAGCTAATCTGTTCATCGCAATCAGCCGACAATTCAGATATGTCGACCAGCTGTCCGGAAAAACACCAGACGGCCGTTTCGCCCTATTGGAGCTCATCAGTGGTGCGCATCCTTCGGTCCTCTGCGGAGGATCGAATCCATGACTGCTAGTGGCTCTTGCCAACTAGCGCGCAGCTTATGCAACTGCGCCATGGAGGACGGTATCTGACTATCGTGAATTGTTAGCTAAGTGCGATATAGCTGGTCGACATATCTGAATTGTCGGCTGATTGCGACGAACAAAAATACTCACCAAAATCCTTCCATTCATAAGTAACAAGCTAATCTTTTGTCACGTGTACTCTTTGGTGCATGCCCCGCTTATCCTAGCCTCTGGCCCATTTCCATCATGTAGATTTTGTCACGTCGAACCGCAGTGGATGAACAAACTCTAACTCGTTATTTGACTTCCATGCACTTGGATGCAATCTCTCTGTGGGACTCTCAGGCAAACGATATACGCGCATCGTTGGGTGACGCGCACCCTTTCACTCTTTGCCACATATGGGCAGAATTAGCCTCTTTTCTTACTCCGCCAAAGGCTCCGGAGCATCGATTACCCGGACGCCAGACAGGTTCGCTGGAGTGGCGCAGAGCTCGTGGAGAACTGGGCGCAGACGATGGTGTCGCGCTTCAACCTGTTTGGAGGGGGTGAGTGTCCACATTCTTGTCCTCTAAACCTGCTTGCGCAATACCTTGTCGCGTTTAGCTACTCGAAGCTACCGCATTATTTTATTCCTCTTTCCTAGTGTACTTACCTTGATTTGTATCTTGATTACTAAAGCAGAACACTTCACAATTGACGAGCTCAGCATGTTTCACTTCACATTAACCTTACAAGGACCATTTTTGAATCTACCGGCCAGACGAATCATAATGGCTGTGTTCTCAGCATTTTCGCTGCCCGTTCACATTTTGCCGACAATGAAAGTCGACTCTCATCTCTCTGTTGAAAGGTGACCCTTTGCGTTTATTTGAAGCTATTTTTATGTTAGCTTCTCTACTCTTCACCAATACTTTCCTGTTTCTTTTGCATTTACTCTCCACCGCAATTTTCCTAGACCGGTGTTTACCCACGCAGTCACGTCGGACTCTTAGTGCGGCAACCGTTTTTTGCAAACAGTCAGCACACTGGTCTATAGCTCCATTCTGTTGGTAATGCTTGCACGAAAAGGTGTTCCAATGAAATATGTGAACATTTTACGTGCGCTGTACTCGAACACCACAGACCGCGCCAAGGTCTACGGGGATCTGTCGATTCATCCGATAATGGAAGCACCTGAATATCTTTCAGGAGCTGCACTGTTTAGAGATTCTTCGAACGCAATGCCGAGAACAAACGTTTATTTATTTAACTAATTGTCCTGTTTGATTGCTTATACAAACGAAAACAGATCACCGCCTGGCCACATCTCTTTTTAGAGAAGCATATAACATTCACTAATTGTAGTTTTCATTACGTTACATTATTTTATTTTCCTTGGTTGGACGCGACTGGGTTTATCTCCCGTGGTGATGTGTTGAAGCTTCCAAGATAGATAATTACATTCACGCAAAGCGAATTGCCACAGACCCACTGACGAGAAAATTTGGTGCTGGACTCAAAAAAAACAAATCTACATGTTGATGGCTTATTACCTAAAACAGTGGCCATAAAAGAATCTTTACAGTAAAGGCCTGTGGCGTACAATAGCGGCCAAAATCCCTGTCAACATGATAACGGCTTACTCGCGTTTAATCCACATCAGGACATGGCCAGTTGAGACGTGGGAGTACGGATGAAACGTCGCATGGAAAAGGTCCGTAGGAGAAAGTTCCACGGATGTTTGTATTACTTTACTAACACTGATGGTAATGCTCTATTTTCCACATTTTTGTTACTTTTAAATAAATTAACGCCGCATAAGCTTCTCTGGAACCTACTTTGCGAAGTTCAGGAATACTTCTCTATCATCCGATTATGTTGTATATAATGATTTAACAATGCAGTTGGTCAGTGTCTCGCACCGTCGAGAAATTTACCATTTATTTATTTATTTATCCATATTTTTCTGACAGCAAGCGGCTTTCGTCAGGGTTATCTCATTTCCCCATTTCGTTGAACTTCATCGGGGACTCCACCATGGAGTGTTTCCTTGCCGAATATAACGATGCAGGGGTCTAGGTGCTTCCTGGGAGAAAACGAGTTGATCTTGATTACGCAGATGATATTATTTTGCTGTTAATCATGTTGGATTGGTCCAATCAACCATGAATAATCACCCTAGAGTGGTCTCATCATTTGGTGCGTAATTCTCATCTTCGAAGTACGAGCTGTTTTTTCAAGTCCACCAGCCACTTGGTGATCCCCTGACTCTTGTTAGCGAGGAACTCGAGGTAGTCGATCGATTTGCCTACCTTTGATGTATTAGCCGCGATGGATGCATAACCACTGAAGTCAGTTTACGTATCGAAAATGCTGTTACTGGTGGTGGTATGAGTGTTCACCGAGCTCGGCAGTTTGGCTTTAAACGTTTCTTCACCAATCGAGATGAAATCGTCACTGCACGTTTATGTAATGGAGCAGCGCGTCACGAAGTGTCATTGTGTGTGAGTGATCGATCTTCTAGGCGGTCGAGTCGTCAGTATGAGTTTGGATCATTCGACGGGCACATGACCACCGGAATTGATCTCTGACTCGGGCCTCGTAGCACGCTTGCCTCATCGGTTGACGCCGTCGTTTGACGCATTTGTCCGGCGTTCTGTTCCGTTAGATTTAGTTGACTAATTCGGTCATCTTTCATCCGTAGTGCTACGATACTTGGCCCCTACAGGGTGAAGATCTGAGGCACCTTCAAGTCTTTGACTATCGCTGCATACGAAGTATTTCTGATGCCGGAAGGCAGCATCGTTACCGGACCGATGATGCATGTAAGCGAGTGCTAGGCAATGATAATCCGACCAGTTCCTTAGCAAAAACTGCAAGGAGGATGTCTCGCCGATGCCGCCTAATCTTTGCCCGATAATCAGCTGTATGTGAGGGTTCGTTGTTGAATAGGTGTAGGCGCCTTGACCCTGAGTGTTTGTCTATGCCATTAAGCTTTTACGCTAGGCTTCCCTTCTCTCCTTCATACAATTCCCACTTTAGTGGATCATTATGTTTGTACGGCAGTGAAGCACCAGTTCAAATGGTTGGTGTGCTGCTGTTGATTGTAATGATGTGCATCTCATTGTGCGTATTGCGTGCGGGCAACTCATAGCTCTTTTTGGAACTCATCTGACGCTTAGTAATCTCTCTGGTAGACTGTGCCCGGCACCAAAAACCAGGTGGTAATTTTGGATGGGTACGCCCTGTAACAACGAAACTACTCTAAGTTTAATTGCGTCGCACGAAATGTATATAAATAATGCTACTTCGACTTATAGACCTGGACTGTGCGCACGGTCTACGCAGGAAGTGGTTGAGGTGGAAAATTTTGTAATATAACTAAATAAATAATTTATTCTCAGCAGTGCGAAGCACGCCTGTAGAGGCACGACCATGGTAATACAAACATGTATGATCGGTAATTGCCAGAATTATTGGTTAACCAGTAACCTATATGTAAGTTGCATGTAGTTGTTCGTGTGTATGTGCAAGTTGTCATGTTGAGTGGATTTGTTAATTTAACTGAATTTGTGGTTTTGCTTCCCGGATTCTCCATCGAAGAAAGATCAAAGGAAGACTTCGAATTGGATGATGTACGTGATGTGTGTAAGATCCTCCGGAAAAGCAAGTAGCAGTGACTTTATTTAGTAATGAGTTACGTCCACCACGTCGCAGTGTTGTTAGACAGACATTTGTGGCTTTTTATGGAGAGAACGCTTGCCATGCGGAAACCCACCACGTCCTGTAACCGTGCTTCTAAAGAGTGAAATGATATACAAGACAATTCACGGCCAGCTTTGTAACTTGCGGGAAGCGGGTGGAAACAACTAACTGTAGCATTAATGTTGATAGCAAACTGGTGAAAATGTTACCTTGAGACAAAGTGCATGCAACTATAGTGGATGCATAACGATGTTCGTTTGATAATGTAGCGGTCTAAAGCACTAAAAGCATGCTATTAGTTTGGAAATTGCAACTATGCGGGAAAAGGGACACTGAGCCATCAAGAGGGAATCATACATCTGGTTTAGGAAATCAGTTCTTTTGGACTTTACACGCCCCGTAAAACTGAGTCGACCAGCATTTCTACCTCTCTGTATTGAGATGATCACCGACTCCGCATGACTACTGATGGTCCGAGAACAAAAGAGACAGTGATATTCAACGAATTGCTTCCATAAGCTTTAACAAAACGCAATACACGGTTTACACACCGTAGTTTTGGCACAGCTAGTCTCGCTATTGGGAGGCAATTGTCGCCCGTTAACGGTGGAGAAAGCTATTTGACTGGGCGACAAATAGTGACGCCGATGACGGCATCACTATGGAGATCATGCAATTGACGATCTGGCAACAGCGTGTGTAAGAGATGGTTGCCATCTAATAAAGTTGTTCCCATAACGCAATGCATAATCGTCACACAGCCACTCTATGGTTGAATTGTAGATCGAGAAAAAGCATTCGGCCTCCGCAACATCTTACTTTACAGGTTGTTACACGTAATCTGGAGTGGAATTGTGCTTTAGTCTGCTGTGGGTTTCGGATACGTCTATCACCGGAACCGCAGGGAAGTTATAACCTTTCATCATTGCATCTCATAACTACTTTCGTCCTTGTTTAATCGAAATCGTCGTAGAACTCCAAAGCACGTGGAGCCGGATGGGAATACTCATTACATATGATCACTGTCCCTACTAGTTGAGCACTTACCGTTGCCCACTGATCGTTAATGCCTTGGTTGTGGCCTTTATTACTGAGTGATTAGATTGTCTGGACCGCCCCATCCGGCGCTGATGGGAAATCATTTGCTAATTAACTGTCTAACTCGAGTGGAGATCGATAACACTCTATCTTTTACCTATAGTTTTAGAAAATAGCTGTAGCACACATTTTTACTCCCATGATGAATGTAGCGGTTCGTGACAACCTTCCTCCCGAATTCTTTTCCTGCGGGACCAGTTTGTTTCGCACTGACTCGAAAACACGAAACATTTGGATACAAGTCCTTACTTAACACAGACATTCAACGCAGCTTTTCTAGGAATCTTTTTTAAATGCATTGTGGGACTTTTGTGCATACCTTGGTTGTTGCTTACAACCGCCAAGGTCCCTAAATCGTCTGTTCACCCGACCGGCTCTGTTTATTTATCACCAATTGTTCTTTTCCACGCAGTTTGTATCCACTTTCCTACTAATATTATCCACGAGTTACTCGACGTTATCATCATGTCTTTTACTACCATAGATCTAATAAACCCATGGTGCCAACCAAATCCGAATTGGCTAAGGGCTTGTTCTATCTACGCTACAACTCGGCTCTCGATATCTACGAAAGACCTTTCGCCTCCGACGAACAGTCACCCACTTCTAAGGAAACCGAGGAATTGGTAACGTACGCTGTTGCGAATGGTCTCAAAGGCTGGCAATCCGCTGCGGCTCGCTGGAAGAACATCGATCGAAAAGTGAGTTTAGTGCTTTTTTGACGGGAACAATACAGTTTATGTGTTAAGCAGACTCCAAGGTGTGACACCATACTACCACTGAAGATACTGGAAATTGCTCGTTTTTGATCATTGGTATCTGCGAAATATTGCACGTAACTTGCTGAAGCACCGAGTGAGCTGTACGAAATTCCGCCACTTAGAATTTGAAACGAATCCCTCTGGTACCTCATTGGAGTGCTTATCAAATTGACCAAGTCCTCCCCATTCTTGTTGGTCAATTTGCTCAGCGCGCATTATATGCTGTCACTGCATGTAGCCGGACGACACCGCGAGGTGACCACGTGGCATAATGTCATAAGGATATGGGCCGAGAGACTTGGCAAGGTGGGCGCGTGCCGCCTTCATGGATGGAGACCTCGGGATGATCCGCATCTGTGACTGGATACCGTGTCGGACTTAGAGTGCTCCCGAGCTCAATTTCGGTTCGACGTTCGTTCTCTTGCGCTTAACTGTTCGCATCCAAATCCGGCTAGTTTTTTCACTCCTTTCCCCTAGTCCTCTGCCTTGTGTTTTATCTGCCCTCTATCTGATTTTCATCGATGTTGCTAACTGTTGTCATCCTGGTGACACTTCTTATGACAACTGGCTGCATCGGAATTCAGTGCCTGAATCACAACTGAACCTAACTTGTCTGTGTTTTTTCCAGTTCTTTTTGTAGGTGTTGATCTCTTTTGTTTCCCTAACGTTGCTTTGAACTGTATGCGACACCCGAACTAGCCTTCGTGGTTCATTTTCCTCCTGTCTGTGTTGCGGATCTATTTCCGGTGAAAACCGTCCACGGAGTGATTAGATTTACTAAGGCAATTTATCCCGGAACTTTTTGCTTTTCTTACTAGTCAGTTTCTCAAGCACCGAGTTGCGGTGGATTCACTTACTTTAACTCAACACCCACGTCGCACTTGGCGTGTGAAATGGTTAGCGGTATCTTGATCTATAAAGTCGAACTCATTGACGCTTTTTCAAGCATTCTTTTTATCCCCACCCTTTTCACTGTTTTTATTGGGTGATCCCGATCACATCTAGCGCGAGTGAACCTTGGCACGCCATTCTCCATCTTGCTATGCTAAATTCACATTTTTACTGAGGTGATTTTGTTGCTCGTCTTCCCTGCTTTTCGAAACGTCACACCGGATTTCTTGTTGCATTTGACGAATGTCTGTGCTCCTCAGGTGGAACACGATTGGCACATGATCTATCTCGCCCGAGAAGACGACAGTTCGGCCGACCAAGATGGCTCGATTGAGTGGTGGCTTCACGTAGCTGAAGAAGACTACGAGATCGGGAAGGTAAGTAGAACACAGTGATTTCCTTGTTTAAGTGGATTGGCTACGTCACTTTTCTGCGCCTGAAAGCTGACACCAATCAGTTGACTCCATTATACGGCTGCCGATGTACGGCGGCAAATCGTTAAGAAGCTACTTCTTGGCTTTTACTAATGAGTAGTAGGGATTTGGTATGTTTAGAGATAGTTCATCATAGTCAACTCTCAGTCAGCAGGCTTTGGCTAGTCTGGAGAAACACCAGACACCGATGGGTCTCATCAGTGATGCGCCTTCCAACGGACCCCTGCTGAGTTCCGCCCTCATGACTTCCTGATGCCAGCAGCTGGTGCCACTTAGCTATGGGTGACAGCCGCTTTACTTGCCAGTTGACTGTGGTATAGCCCGGTTCATCTTCCATTGCCAGGCCAGTTACCAACTGTGCAGAGGACAGCAGCTAGCCCCACGAGCTCGGACATTCCGCATAGCGCTTTGGTACAACGCAAGAACTTAGAAGCTATACGGACAGATTTTATGTTACTGCTGAGTAGTGGTGATTTGGTACGATTGGAGAAAGTTCATCACAGTCAACTCTGTCAGCAGACTTTGACTACTCTGGAAAAGTACCAGACTCCGGTGTTTCCACCTTCTGGGTCTCATCAGTGGAAGATGAGCCTGGCTATATCATAGCCAACTATCAATCATGCGGGTCTGCGGCTGTTAACCATGGCGAAGTGGCACTAGCTGCCTTCTTCCGGAAGTCATGGGGGCAGACCCTGGCAGGGGTCCGCTGGAAGGCGCACCACTGACGAGACTCGGAAGGTCGAAACACCGCTGTCTGGTGTTTTCCCAGACCAGCCAAAGTCTGCTGATTCAGATTTGACTGTGATGAACTATCTCCAATTCTTGGCTTTTGCTGACTCTCCTTGCTGTCCATCTTACACTTTTATCTGATCGTTATAATGACGCTTGCAATATGCTGTAAGCATATGGCCCCGGTAAGCGACCACTGTTCGCACTTTTTTTCTCGGTTTAAGCACCAACCTTCGTACTTTCTGTTAAACCTTGCTTGTGTCTTCTTTATTCAGTATAAGTAGTGTTGACCGCGACTTGTTGGCTTAAGGATAGACGTTACGGTCAGCAATTCCTACATCGGCCGGTGGCCGAGTGGTATGCGCGTCTGGTTTGCAACCAGAAGATCACCGGTTCGAATCCGCGTGGGGGCGGGCGTCCTCGCGGTATACTCAGCCCACACGCGACTGGTGGTGGTCGCGTGGCAGCGAAGCGCCGTTATGGCGTGCAGCTGGCGATTTATTTATTATTATTTGCATTGTGGGTTCAAGCCCTGGTTCTTCTCTTTCTAGCTGATAAGTGAATATGTGTAGGAACTCTTCCGTGTTGGTGCAGCATTTTTTCCCGTTTTCTCTAGCGTAGGTAACCACATTAACGACATTAGTGCGAATTCATTTGTGCCTGTCGTCATCGCATCAGAAGGCCTTCCCCTCCCAACTTCCATGATCTCCCTGTCTGAATACAACATTCCTACTATAAGACACATAGGTGAACAAGCTCCTTTTGCACGGATACTGGCTACCCTAGGCACTGGCATGTGCGGCGTTTAAAATCTTCTCATGCGATTATCGAACATGTTACGCTTGTTTCATCGTCTTATTATTAGTATTATTTTCACGAATTTGATGATACTGATGCATCAGTCCCATGTGAAGGCCCCAACTTCAAATCTATATTCACGCTGGCTAAGTGCGCTCCCATCTTAGATCCATGTCTTCTGAAATCTTAAACAAATTACTGCTGTTTCCTTGGAATATTGTTTGTTCGCTGTATACCTACCACCGATTTATCTGTGTGGCTAGATTGTTTGTGGCGTGAAGTAGTGTAATCCTCGAATTTTCCACCCCGTTGATTCTGCATCATCTTCAGTTTGCAACTGACTACTTTTAATCTTTCGTAGTTGGCTGATTATATTCATCTTCAGTATGCAGGTTTTCTTGATGCATTTAATACATACATTAGGTCCATATTTCCCTACCAACCTCGTGGTTAGATCTGTGCGCGCAGACGGATGCCACTGAGGCTCAATCAGGGACTAGTAAGTTCCATCTTCGCTCCCAACCGACCTATCTGATACACTATCGACGAACGGTTTTTGTATTTAGTGTTATCAAACCTCCATTTTTCTTTCGTGCGCTTTCCAGGGAGTTCTTTTATGATGTTTCACGCTGAAAGTGCCCTCCTCTTTAGCGACATCTTTCCACTATTTGTGTTTAGGTATCGTTGTTTGCCAACATGGCCTGTCACTCACCCGAAGCTGCGGCTCACCTGCTCCTATGCTCCGGCTTCAGTGAATGCGATCAAAGCGAAGAACGCGTTGGTGACTTGGATACCGGTCGATGTGTACGGTTCGCTCCGGGTTCTAGTCCACTCTTCGAACTGGTCGATTTCATGGGCGAAAAGCAGCTTTGTTTAAAGGGCCGATTGTGGACCAGAGAGTTGTATGGGAAGAACCCAAGCCCGCTGGCATGGCAACACGCACAGCTGTTCCGTCAAAAGGTTCGTTTGCAGCACTTAGCGGTTGACACCGTGGTCTACATATGTTTTGTGTTCGTTCGATCACGGTTATCTCTTGTTGTCTCCCTATCGGCTCATTCTAGTTAGCTTTTACTTATAACCAGAGTGGCATTTTTGACCAATGCGCAATGTGGATACCGTGACCACCTCAAGATGTTGCTGCCACATCATCACACTGGATGTGTGTGTCCCGCTTATGTGACTGATTAGTGTACTGCACCACTTCTTCATTGTATACATTTCTGAAAAAAATACTGCACTTTGCCACTTCCATTCACTGCCAAGTAAAGGTAAGCATAGCTCACTGCCTAAAGTGAGCAACTGCGTCTATGTTGAAGAACCCAATGTCACTGGGACGATTAATTAGCAAAGGCTAAGAGGCGTTTCTTTTTAGCTAAGTGCAGTGTGTAGGATTTGGAAGTAATGGGCAACGGGGACCCCATACTCGCAGCGGTGATATGTGGACTGGTGGCACCACCCACTCCAATAGGGGGGGGTTCCGGTTCGTACATCTAACCGTTGATTCGATGGACCAACCGATCAATAACACAGAGGAATAATTGAGATTTTCCTTAGAGAACTCCAACCATGGTACTGGAGATTCCCTGCAGCTCGAGTGTGTTGCTGCAAAGTTCCACAGGGACTAGTGAAGCCGATCGCACACAGTGATGGCAAGTCTGGAGTAATTAACCGCGACCACTGTCAAGCGCAGCTAAGCTTTGGCCGGTTTCTGTCTTTTTGACCAAAGTCTACCTGGTTTGTGACTGACTACGGAAGACCAACGAGCACCAATAATGCTCCTCTATCTTGTGGGGTAGTCTCTTGATAGTCGGTCGGATTCGACATTGCAATCTCTTTCATCCCACGCTCTCTCTTGACCCGATGGGCCCATTGTTATCTGAAATGCATGCAATTGCGAAGCGACTTGGTATGAATTCTCAGTGTCGGGTCACTTATCATTCCTTAATCGGAAGACACGTAAAGGGCGCTACGAAACCGACGACGATACGCGCATCATCTATTCCTATTAAGCTCCGCTGACTGCACCATCATCAGTTCATGTGCACTGTCGCTCTTTAGAGACGGCATTTCTAATCTGTGATTTGCAACGGAACGATTGCTATACTTTACCTTGCTACCATGAATCCACCCATTGTACTGGCATGTATTTCGTATGTAACATTGCTTCTTTTTGAGACATTTGCCATCTTTCTTGTCTTCCGCTTACTCTTTCTAGCCTTTTGGAATCTTGTTTTAACTTTGGTGGGTTTTATATTATCTTGTTCGTTTATCTAAATTGGGATAACTTGACTGCCCTAGACCAGTGCAGATGTGTGATGTATTGCGCTGTGTCCCAGAAACCTGTTTTTCGTTCGATATGACTTCCCGCTGATACTTGATGTCGCCACCTCTTCGTCCCATCCGTCTCTCCCACATTTCTTTGTCACATTGTGGAGCTAGTTGCTTTTACTAGACATTTTGTTGCTTAACTGTCTATCCAAGAAAAAGATCGTTGTCTGTGAACCTTCGGGAAGCGATTTATCTAATCCATTACTAAGACTGCCGCTGCGCAGTTGACAGTGCACGGCGACCACCTTGGTAACAATTCTTCTCATCCTCTGTTTTACCACTTACCTCACGCACCACACTCTTACAGCGTTAAACATATTTATGAAACCCGGAGTGACCACTTCTGTGGACCGATCACTGAACCCTTGTGCTGATCTGCAAGTCATAATTCACGTTGTCGATTCCTTTTGCTATAACTAATGGCGATCTGTTCGGGTCACATCATTTAACCCCCTGTCAACAACTTCAGTTGTAGCGTTCTGGTGTTTTTGGTCAGTTTTACAACCGCATGTAGGTGTCTCATAAAACTGACGGTTAGTCGGCATTTTTCGATTCTTGTGAGTCGATCTTTCGTTTTTCTTTGAACACTACTCTAATCAGGACCCCAGCCTCCTGTGGAGTATCTTAACCGATGTATTGTGGCTTGCGAGGCAAAGTGGTCGCATACTTCTGATATCTTTAACCCTATGATTCCTTTCGAATTTTCGCATTCAGTATTTCCTCCAAATGCGATTGCCAAACTGTGTTACACCTCTTTACGCCTTCCCTCTCTAGGACACTGATCGTGCCATATGGTCGTTGGAGTGGAAAGTGGAGTTGGTCAAAAAATTACCCAAGCAGGATGAACCATGAACCGTGACCTATATGTTCTGTCTTTCTCAGACCGATCGCCCTTCAAAATTTGCTGTGATTCTCAACCGACTATCTTTATCTCCCATCAAAATATCCATTCTGCATCCTTCTTCTCTCGTTACCTTCTGTGGGTTACGTGAGACGTTAATCCCTACTGAGCTGTGTGTCCGATCGTGTCTTGTTTGTCAATTTTCGCTTTCTTTTCACTTCAACTGCACATACCGCCTTTTGCAAACGGAAAAACTGAATGATAGCTTTCTTTCATGCTTCACGTTCTTCCAGGATACCTAGTCCTTAAATTGCAACTGTCTCCACCTCATTCTTGTGGTCCACGCGTCATCTACCAGTTTACCACACGAGAAATGGCTACCTAAAGTTTACACCAGAAAGCAGACAATTTTCGTCGGTACGATGTGATGGCGAACTGTCCTTTCCCATCTGATGGAAGATCCTTATCAAGTGTTTGTTTGCGACGTGGATTTGCGAATTGCCTATACTTTTCATTGTTTCATCGACATGACCCGGTTTTCTTACTAGTTACTGTTTATCCTAACTGATTTTGTTTTTCTTCCTAATAAATCTCATGTGCCACTTGTTTCTGCTTGTGGCTTGCCTATTTCAATCAATCGAAAGATAACTTGGCTAATTTGGTTCCAGCAGCCTAGTCGTGGCATGAACTGGGAAGTTCCAGGTGGCTTGCTCATATGTGTGTCACCGCGAAAGGTTATTTGTCAGATGTGTGGTACGTACAAAACTGGAGTAGCTCCGATGTTGCTTTGCGGTTCGTCGACCTTGAAAAACGGCCTTTGATCGCCACCAGTTGTAGAGCAGCATTGCTATTATCTAGTTCTAACACTGCGTTCACAATACTACTGTACAGCGGTTGGTGTCGAGCTTCCAGCCATTTAGCACTACAGTGATTCGTCTGAATTCCCTACTTTTGGGTCATATTCTTCAAACGGCTGCTGACTTGCCAATACCGTTTGGCGGAATCCCAGATGGCTAGTCGTCTGCATGCCATTAAGGTACGGTGGGAATGATTGAAAGCCCGCTATCTTCTTGCACCGGGCTCTATTTATCGACTACATCATTCCGACTGTGTTGGGTTAGTTCTAAGACTTCGGATTCGTTTAGTCGTGGTTGCATTACTCTGATTGGATTTACTCGTGAAAGCACCGACAAAAGCGTTTCTGTCTGATTTGTTGGCCTTTGGACTAATACCGTCTCGGTTTTCCTTAACACAGGACCGCGTCCGCTTGTCACACATATCCTGCTCTCAACTCGTTCCACGATGCATGCGTTCTGCTGTTTGATCCCGTTCATGATGCCTGTTTCTGTTTCTTTTCTCTTCCGTTTTCGTGTCTCTCCTGTCTTCCATGTGATTGTTGCCTTGTGCGCCTCTACTCACTTATGCATTATCGCATAAACCGGTGCAACATTGACCAGCAGTTCGTATAGCAAACATCAGTCTATAAAGCTTGTAGCGTCATCTTCATTGGGCTCATATAAGCATTGCTGATCCACATCTCACGGTAACATCACCCTTACACTGTATTCGGGATTAACGACTGTTTATACGCGTTAAGCTGGACGTCATTCACAAATCGACCCAGCCAATCAAAAAGCAGTGGTTGCCGACCAACCAGCAACTCCACCTAGGCAGACTTATACCTTATAATAGGATCTCTTCCATCCTCGTTCGATTGGTTGCCCTATTTGACCCTCTGCTACTACCCGTTCATTCCACATGGCAATCATCTCATGGCAAGGAAGTTTGCTATTTGAAGAACGTTTTCCGGTCTTGAATGCGCAGTCCTCACGAAATTGTCTGTACCCTTAAGTGGCGGACCGAGGGATACGTATTTGATCGTGTCGTGTTTTATATGCTTTAGCTTCTGGACCCAGTTACATCTCACAACCTTTTGTCGGCACGCGTAGGTCGTGGTGGCATAGATTGCAGAGGGCTAATGCTCACACTACATTGATATATATCGTGTGGATTTCTAAATTTCTCGCAATAGAGACTGCACATAGCCTCTTCTTTCCAGATACTGGATTACAATGTCACTGATTTGCTCACTTCAGTTATCTAGTGGTGGCTTAGTAATTTGTAACCCCGACTTCTCAATGATGCACTTCGCTGCGCAGTTCATACGCAGGCCTTGCATGCTCTGAGATGCGTGGCATCGCATACTCGATGCACTATTCAAATCATTCTTGTAAGTGGATTGTCACCGACCAGTGGCTGCTCAGTACTGATACTCCCGTGTTCTTATACGTCGCCCTGGTGTGATGCTTAAGCACTATAGTAATGGTGACTGACTAAGTGGGTGGTTGGTGACTAATTCTCCCTCATCATCTGATTTGTTTGAATAGGAACTAGGTTAAGGGGCTCACGAATGGATCGAGTGTGACCAAACTCTGCCACACTTTTGTCTTCATAATTGAGATGTTTCTGTTCGTTTACTCTTCCTTGCATCTCCTCGTCGCATGAGCGCGGTTCCAACGACGTTAGCTACGGATGCTGGAACAGTGCCGTCTTACTCGTTTTCACTTTCGTTCGTTCACACAGATCCCGATTTACCAACTGACTTGCTATGGACAATTGTACCTGCGATTTCCAGGGGGTATCTGGTTTCTATATCTTACGGTACTTATTTTAGGTGTTCTTTTGTGTCGGATATTTTGTGGGTGACCAGCGATTAGTTCTCTTCGAAAGCACAGATCATGACAGTAGTCGTCTGGTATCGACTCATGGCCACGTCTGTCACTTCTTTTGCAGTTCATTTAGAATAGCAAAGTGATGCCCAGTACATGCTGTGATCCAGAGACGGCAAACTTATCTGCTTGTCCTTTATGGCTTCTGAGTCGCCACTGTTCGCCGTAACGCAAAATCACGAATGAATTTTGGCTATACCTATTTAGGAATGGACCTTCTTATACGTCTGCGTTGATCTCTCTCTCCCGTCCTTTAACTACTCTACTTGGTATTCCCGATGTTCGTCGCTTGGTGATTACGGGCTAGTATGACCAATATTGATAGTATTGCCACGCCCAGCGATGTAACTTGACGTTGACGTTGCATTCTTTTCTGCACTACTTACGAGTAGTTCATTCATTGCCTCCCAGTGGCCTCATTGTTACTTCAGCCCATCGGCTCGATACCTTTCCCTGTCAACCCATTCACCGTCTGTAGTTCTGATTTGGTCGAAATGAGGGTCAACAAATTGTTTTTAGCACAAAGTTTCGAGCAGGTTGATCGAGAAAGCAGCGGTCGTCACGGCTGCCTTCGTAAAAAATCGTCCATTCATTTTAAGCAATGCTTTTATTCCAATAATGAGCCTTCTCTCGGACGCCTTACAAGGCATGTGTGTGCATTTCCTGTTAAGCTTCATTCTATCCAACACGTTGTCAGACGCACTAATTATGGCAGACTGTGTTGACTGTTTATAGGATGATCTGAATGGAATGGGAAGTTGCTCGGGTTCCAACTACTTCGATCTCATACGCGCTTGCCTTCAAATCCTGGGTAATTATTGTACCCATGTTCTTAAAGGTTTTCTTCTTGAGTGCATTTGTCTCCGTATCGCATTAACGTATCTAACTTGTTGCATGATGATCATCGTCGAATCTCGCTAACGGGCACTCCTTCAAATTACCTCTAGCTATCCCATTTTCAAACACCAAACAGCTGATTGCAGTGAGTAAGGATGCGATTAAAGCACTTGGGTGCACATTTGTACGCAAATGTCCCAGGCAGACGATTGATTCAACAGTGCGTTGCTTGTCTTGCTACGGGTGACAAGTTGCGGTTTAGAGCGCTTCATCCCCTGTCACGCACTTGGTGGAATATTGTGTAATGGATTCGGACAAATCGAAGGAATGTTGTAGCTTCTGTATTGATCAAAATGAGTATACCTAGATTACAAGGCCGTACTGCACTCCATATGATCCTAAGTAGAATCCTAAGTGTTACGTATTGAGTCCTTGCCATTAGGATAGATTGTCCATTGCGTTATGCCACCACACTCGCTGTGCGCTTAATTCCAGTGCTTAAATTGGTGTTGGGTGCAAAATCTTAGATACTTGGAACCGGTCAACAAGTCATGAGTTCAGACAGGTTTGGAAATGATCGGTTGGTATAGTTGTTTGCTATTTCGCTCTTCACACAAGAGCGTATTCAGACCAGATGAATCAGTGTGCAATTTGAGTGGCATTTTCTATCGAATGAGGACGATAATCGCGATACTCAAGACTTGAGCCAAGGTGACATTTCCGTCACAGTTCGCAATGTCACCTGTGGTTCAATAACAGTAGGAATAGTTCAGTTGTTCCTTTGTTCGTCCTGGCATCGACAGATAAGCCCGTAATGATGACAATGGGAGCCGAGTTGCAATTTCCAATCTGATCCACGCACCGACGCTCGTCGCACTGGCCGGATTAAAATCGCTCGCCACGAAATGGAGAGCTCTACCCCCTCCATTTTATTCACACAGCCGTCCGAGTTGGTAATTTCCAACGCCTAGGCAATCGACCGCCTCCTAATGATTTTTACGTTATCCAAGTCGACCTGGTTAGGTCAACTGCTACGTTCAACGCTGGTTCACCTAAAGGACTCACTTTTTAAAGGTAGTCCAACTATGTTTGTACCATTGAATGTAAGAATTGTACACATGTGTATATAGGCCAACCAGCGAGAGAGTTACGTATACGATTTTCGGAGCACGGCACATTTCAAGACCACGGAAGAACAGCTTTTATACCAGGCAATGTTAAAGACTCGGCCGTGGCTGTGCATGCATTAGACACGGGTCACCATGGCGATTTGGATAACCTAAAGGTCATTCGGAAGGGTATAAGGTCAACGCTCCTGCGATTGGTTGCCTAGGCGTTGGAAATTACCAAATCCGATGGCTGTATGAATAAAATTGAGGGGGTAGAGCTCTCCATTTCGTGGCGAGCGATCTTAACCGGCCAGTCTGACGGGCGTAGCTGCGGGGATCAGATTATAAGCTGCAACTCGACTCCCATTGTCACCACTATGGGCTTATCCGTCGATGCCATTACGCACAAAAGAACATCTGGACTATTCCCACTGTGATTTAACCACAAGTGACATTGGGAACTGTATCTGTACTGTCACCTTAGCTCGAGTATCTCGGTTATCGCTATAAAATGCTCACTAATTCATCTAGTCTGGCGATGCCCTTGTGTGAAGAGCGAAACGTTAGCAGTTATACCAACCGTTTTTTTCCAAACCTCTAAACTCATGGTGTTGGGTGTTTGTGTTAAGGTTTCAACCTCCTTTTACCTACACTTATGATCACTATCAGTTGCTCTTATTCTTCAAAAACTCGTGGCACAGTCTGCATGATTACTTTCAATTTTATCTTTCTTCACTGATGAGCTGTACTCAATTATATCCCTAGACAATGGGATGCAGATGAAAAAAAAACAGGAAAATACACTTAGCTTGGGCTTCAACTGAAATCGAACAATACAAACGGCAAATATGTACCCCGGGTTGGGCTACTCTACTTCAATTCAAACCTATTTGCGTTTATGTTAATCACTGGGTGACAATTTCCAAT